TGACCTGTTCAGTTACGAATTTTAATGACATTTCGGGCCGGATCGAAATGGTATATTCGTCATTTAAATGACAATGAACGTCTTGTGCAATGACAGAAACTGTTTGCAGCCGTTTATAGCCGTCTTAGCTGGATAATACTAGACATACATCTTTTATTTATATGTGTATATGTTGACTAGAACAACGGGCTACAGATCTACCTATCCGGCGTACTTGTGATCCTGCTGGCTTAGCACAAAGAGCACACATATATGACTTTCGTAACATATTGACAGTTGCCGACTTTATGGCTATTGCTTAATATCAGATTCCGGAGCTCATGCGTCTCTGAGAATTCAGATTTTCGGGCACAGTTCTTAAAGTTAAAAAGAAAAAAAGCACTTTTATAACCTGGTGTTCAACTTCCAGGACTTGTCGAACTTTTATCTCTCAGCCAATTCGGTCAGCATTATTTAAATAAATAAGGTTGCTTTTTCAGTCCCCGCCCATACTTAGACCTTTGCTCCATAGACATATGTTTTATCTATAATTTTATAGTTAAAAACGAAATACTATAGAAAGATATGACCCCTCTATTTCCTAACTGGCTAATTTTTGATAGTAAATGTCTTCTGCGAAGAGTATATTTGTCATAGGTACGTCATATCATTTGTATGTCCGATGATTTATAGATAGAAATATATTATACACCTGATTCTTCCTATTCCCAGATCTCCTTCTGCTGTACTTCGCTAACTGTGAATGTAGTCCTGTTTGTTTTCTGTTACTCTATACTATGCTACTGCTAATCCTATACCGTTTACCACTGACCGTATGCGTATCACTGTGGATTTAACTGTTTTGAATACGACCGTTATTGTCACCGTTGGTGAGAACACCATCGAGGGGAAGCGCAACTGTTGTAGTATTACTTCTATGAGTGGCCATGTTTTGTTGCTTTTTGAGTGGCGCTCCTAGCGGTTAGTAATATCCACATGGATAACGGCGACGCCACTATAATACTATATATATAATACGATTATATATATAATACGCCAAGATAATACGATTCGAACCGTAGGCACCTCATATCCACCGGTTACATTTGCCTTTGGTCTTCCAGTCGCGTTTCCACGTGACTCATTGTAAAAATAATCAAATGTACCTGTAAAATGCGTATATATCTCTGGGTATAGAGTTATTAAACTTGGAAACAGTGAATGAAATCTACGTATCGTAGAAGCCCTTTAATGTTTAGAATGACTGGGGTCTAAGGCCGATCGTTCCTCATCGTCATTTCTCACTTTGAGCTTTGCGTATGGTTATTGTTCCATTTATTCTAAATATAAGGTTATCTCTACTGATCAGACATGCTAGATTCCGTTGCAATCATATTTTGTTGTAACGTCTTTTATTGAAAACGCATACTTACAAAAGGTATTATATTAATTCTGTAATATAGGCAAAATATCCAAATTGCCAATAATAAATGAAAAAATGAATGATAAAAAAAACTAATTTGATTTTCCTAACCTAACTGTTTTCAAATGGAAGTATTTACGGTGCCTAGTCCATGTGATACTGTACAGTATAATTCGCAGTAACTTCAAGCATTTTTAAACTTTAATTGAACGTTACACAAGGGTTCCTTGCCCCACTGTGTTATACATGTATAGAGGAGCTTTCCCCTTTACCCCCCCCCCCCCCGTGCAACGACGAGTGATATTCAGGGGTCCGCTACGTCAACGACGCATTTCAGACATTTACGTGTAACAACAACCGCAGGAATATTGAGTCACACAAGATTGAACACAGTTTCATCATTGGATATGAAAATACCAATGACGAGACTACTTTTACCTACGTTAAGTTCACTGTCTCCTATCGCAGCAGCGGTCGATCAATAATGCGTGAAATTGTCTACCTAGAGCGATGTAAAAAGACGGTTCTAAGAGCTGGATGTGCATATGATCGTGTTTTCACTGTATGTTACCACGGCCAGTATAAACTGTGCATAGGAAAATTAATTTAACTAAAGAAATTCATTCTACAAATGATTGTACATGTAAGTCTGAACAAATATCTCGACAGCCACAAAAAAAAACCGTATTTAGATCTGTGAATCAGCATTGTTGTTGAAATAGTTAATGTTTGTGCTTATACACATTGAACTATGCGTTCGTTGTCGAAGTCACAATGGGTTAGATCTCAGGTTAGCCTAACACCTGTACATTTAGAGACGACGCAACTTTCAGCTATCCTTCCTTCCTTCCTTTGTGAGAATGTGTCCATTGCACTAAAAAACGTTCTCCAAATAAATTGATGATATATTCTATAATAATTTTGTTTTTATCAGGTCTAAAAGGCTCGTTTCGAATGCTACCTATTTCTTACAGCGAATGATAAAGTTTAGCCCAACTAATACAGTAATAGCTGGTCGTATTCGTTCTGAAGCTCTCTAATAATGCGTGATCTGGATGGGAATCGCAATGTTAACGGTCTCCGAAACGAGATCGATACTTTTTCTTATCCAGTAGTTGATTAGCTGTTGTTTTATATGACAATTATATTGCATGACACTCCTCAATAGAGCCAATGACCGATTCCTCTTGTCTGGCTGCAGACACGCAGTCGATACAAGTTAAGCTCGATAAACAAATTTATAGTTTCGTCTATAGTAGATTTATACCTAATTATATTTGAAATTTTCGTCGAAAGCTTCCGAACGTCGAACTTGTTTACGCTGTCAGATACTCATTTTGCGTGTTTTTTAAGACGAGAGCATTTTGACGAGGGTATATATTGTATAAACAATAAGACATAGCTGGCGTGTGCATACACGAAAGGACGTTCGTTTAGAAAAGAAAAAAAAAGCTGTATTCAAATGTATAGCTCTTGAACATGGAATAGCGCTAGCTCGAAAGCGACGCATTCGTTGAAACATTTTATGTTTTTCAATCGTGTAGACATCAAAGGAATATGTTAAGAGATTTTGTCTTTGTATTTTGTCATTATATTAGAAAGTCAAAGGATGAAGCGCTAGCAACCAGAAAAAGTACAAGACCAAGTATTCATGGTTTTGGCAAAGGAAGACTATTAAGCCTATCTATTTGCATAAATCTCCCGTGTTTGCATCTTGATACAAACCACAGAGTGCGTACACTCAATACATTTCTATTTTTTTTTTCAAGAAATTTTTATACCACTACCAAGCGCTTGATAATTTTTATCACGGAAACTCACGACAGTCATATGCAGATTGGGTAATGTTACATAAATATTTGTCCTAATGGCTATCTCGTAATCGAGAACTTTTTTAAGTTGAAAACGATTGATAGCCATTTTCCACAGAAGAGCTCTCGAAATTATCGGAGTCGACTCTACCAACCGCTAGTCAACATAGATCTTGATGGTTGTATGAAACATTACGTCTTCACTGACCAAGAACAACACAAGATCTTGACATGAACTATGGTGATATAGTTTGTAGCTGATTCGTTTTGGCCCCTCGTTTGGCCGCATCGTTATGTTCTAATTATCTACGGGACATATTTAGACGAATATGTTGAACGTTACATGAACTTGCATGATCTCTGTTCTATGGCAGGGTATAACGAAAAAGCTAAGAAGTAGAGCTGTTTATGCCAATAATATACGGGATATAATAATAACATGGGAAAATAATAATGAATACGGACAGGGCTAACTTGGTAACAAGTTTTTATCTGGAGATCGCTGAGAAAGCCTAATCTTAATTTTATGCTTTCAGCCGCTGGATGTAGTAGTGCTAGCGGTGATACCGCTTCGTTTTATCATATTCTGTCAGAAGATTCAATAACCGATAGATACATGCTGCCAAGTGCTCTACCGTTGTCGCTTGCGTCCATTGAGTTAAAAAATTCAGTGAAGCAAAAAAGATCTGTGATGCTTTGGAAAAAATCTATAAAGCTTTCCAGAGTTTCTCTCATTCGAGCTTCAACTCCTTCGGCTACGCTATATTTACGTCGATACACGTAACGGAATGGGCTCTCAAAATAACACTCCATTTGTTCAGTTATCTGCCAACATTTAACTGCTAGATGGCCTCAAAGCTCAAGAGCAAATGGTAATTCTGTAAGTTCGCGCACGAATCTCACTAATAACAGATCTGCTTTCATTTTACAGCCTTAAGGGACACGGTAGCAAGAACAAGTTCATGAGGCCGGTTTCACGATATTACGCACCTACTAAGTCGTAAGCTTAAACGAAAAGAATGTCAAACTCTTTCTCAACAAAAAAGAAGAAACTCATCATAGACCCAGCTGGGTTAAAGCGAAAGTAAGATTCTGTCTGAGGAGATATAACATACTCAGAATACGTGTATTACTGACGTTGTTGAAGCAAATGCTTGCGTCGCTTTCTCGTCGATAGTCCTTTCCTTTCCTTTTCTTTTCTTTTCTTTAACGATCGTCTGTCGGTCCGAGCGAATGTCCACTTTCGCATCATGTCATTGATAAATTTCAGTGTGAAGCACAAATCAATCGCGAGACATGAAGACGCACACTTTTTGTGCTGTTCATTACAAAAATAGTTTGATTTGAAATGCACTTTGGCGCGTGTGTAAATGATTATCCATTAACAAAAACATTTTACTTCTATTTGTTTATCTTAAATTGCTAGTGATCAGCACTGTTCCTCAAAAAAAATACACCGAGCAAAGGTCTCGGCTACGCGACGTCGTCCTACATTAATCGACTTATGAAAAACAGGAAGGAGAAGCCCGAAACACAGATTTGTTCCACTGTAACTTATTGCGATAGTTTAGTGAACTGATTGGTAGTTCCGATCACAAGGACTTTGTCCGTGTTGACGAAGAGCTGGCGATCAGAAAAGCACCCATCAGCGAAGAAAAATTTCGCGCGCATAATTCGTAATTGTCGTTAGTGTGCCTATGCACAACGTTTTCTAGCCAATACAAGGTAACGCTGGGTGTGATGATTCTGAAGACTTTATGTGTTTAATTGTTTCGAAAATGATGCAGGTGTATCGGCTCCTCGCACAGGACTTTCCGGCGCAGCACTTCTTTCTGCACGCGAGATTTCTGCCAGAGTATTCCAGGATCGGGACATCCCTCACGAGCATGCGTCAATGGTCGCCGTAGCCTTTGGACACTTTGTCTTCCATGATATCTCGCACACTCCACAAACAGCAGGTAGGCTAAAAACAATGGAACTGTCAGGATAACCCGATTGCCTTGTTCAGGAAGATCTTGACGACTGGCCATAGGATCTCTAAGTGCACGGGCTAGATTTATGAAATCTTCTGACTTATTGCCAATCGTTTCTCAATAGACAAACGACCCTGTGAAGAAGTAATTTCGGCACGGTGCTATGAGGCCGCTAGGTGCGGCTGTAATTCGTCCGCTAGCTTTTTTCTTCGATAAATACCTACGATATATAAAGCGCCGAAGGTTTACCATACTTATTTAGAGGCCAACATTCATCTCAGATCAAATCCCATTAACAAATCAAGAAGAAATATGCTAGCGTTGACTAGCTTCTTGCTCCTATTTAGAGTACGCCTACTCTTGGTGCTATCAATATTATTATCCGTACGGTACTGTGCATATGCAGCAAACATGCCTGAGATGGTGGATCAGATCAAAGTTCCATTGATCAGCAAACATTATCCAACACTTACAACTCCTGCAACGGCCGCTAATTCGTTCGGTTTTTTCTTCTAATAGCTTCCCTTGTCAACTGGGTACGATCCTTGAACTGCACGGCATCACAACTAACAACTGTGAAGCGCTAGATATGAATACTTTTAATAGTTCACAACACGGATTCACAGCACGCGCAGATGCATGCGGGAATATAGATACGGACCGATAAATGCTTCTGTTCACATCTTCTATTGGTGACGCGTGCGCGCTCTGACACTGCAGACGCATACGAACCGATGATGATATAGACAAGACTCCTTCGTCGGTTAAATGTTCCAGCGGTACTAACATCGTACGCGGACGCCTTAAAGATCAGAAAAGATGCCGAATTATAATCTAATTTCCAAGTTATTATTTTATCAATTAAAATATCAATACGCTGTTATTACTATAGTGAAAATAGTAAATTGGCGTGTGCTTTGGTCGATGTCTTTATGAGTGGGATAGGTATAGCCAAGTGATACATAATGTTTCTGTTATAGTCGTTGCGGTAGACTATCTAAACGTTAACTTAAACCGTTAATGTCAATACGTAACTATACGATTGCCAAAACTTGTGGACCCGACGATAGTTTACGTCTAAACGGACATAAACATACAAATCAGCAAAAGCTGACTTGATGAAACATGAACTGATAAGCGTATAAGAGACACTACACAAGCCATGGTTCCTCGGGCTTGTCGTTTCAACCGCCCATTGACGATCTATCATATCAAGCTGACTAGTTTAACAGAAATGAAGTAAAAATAATAATAATAATAATCCTGAAATTTTAATATCACTAAACGTTTGTTACAGTGACGTTACTAAGATCTGTAGCTGCAGAGTGGTGTGCATTAGTAAGACGTTATAATATTAGAAGGGTTGCCACAGAGGCTACCATGCTTTCTCCCTCAGGTGGTACATTGTGCTCAACAACCTACAAAGTGAAAACGGTACAAGCAGGATGAAATGAAAACAAAATACTAATATCGGCAATAATAATGATAACATAAGTGTTTGCTTCGATTCTATCCTGTCTCCATCATTATACAGTCAATTTATTTGCAACTTGTGATTCACTATTCGTAGAAACGAAGAATCGAGAAGACTCGATAGTCCCACCGGGGGAACGCCACAGCCCGACGCAATCGTTCGATCGCTATCAATTCGAGATACCACATAAGGTTATACAAATGTATGGGCTGCCATACATAAATCTGTGTAATTAGTTAATTTGTGTGAGTGTGCAAATGCATACCGCTGATATTTTATTTTTACATAGATACACAGCGACGCCATTTTAAAATTTCTAGATGAATGTGAAAGATAGTTTCCCAAAGTGGACTTTGGCCGATTGTGCGGACTACAACGAAATATTTCGAAATACTACGAAGTGCGAACCGTTGTATAAACAATGCTATCTACTGTACAGTACGTTCCATATGGTCGTTGTGGTTGGCCACACTGAGCTCGATTGTAAACAAACCATATTAACCTGCACGTATGGTATTACCTATAGTAGCATATATGATATCGTATTGTCATTTATCCATTACTACGTACGACATTAGTATTCGGTGCCCAGTACGGCTGATTATGGCGACAATGAATTTGTCGTCGTCGTCGTACGAAGAAGAAGAATCGAAAGCGACGAATACAAACAGGAGACGTTGGATTAGAGAGATACACCATTCCCGATGGTGGGATTTGGGATGGTCAGCGGTTATTGCTAGCTTGCACAGGCATCCTAAGAAAAGCATTTTGTTTCTAAAAAATCGAGATAAAGCTTGTTGAGTGACTTAGGCTACTAGAGCCTATATTTTGTACTTTTTTCACATGAAAGAGTACTCTCAGCTATTGACAAACGATGTTCAAAATTCAGCAATTAGACGCTTTCTTTGCTGGGTACTATGCAATAATAATAATATAACCATGAACGACAACCTGGCAGTTGCCGTTTGCTAGACCGTTAACAACAGTTGAAATATCTGAACAGAAAATCTTGTGTAAAAACGACCACTGATTGCGCCATATCGCGCGCGAAAACTTATTTATTAGGTAGTTTCACCTTTGACCAAAGCCACTATTCTTTAGGGGGTTTACGTAAGCTTGAAAATGAAAGAACTTGAAGTAAAATTTCCCCTGCGTCCGGCAGCAGCAGCAGCAGCAGCTCCAAGTCTGAGCTTAACGATTATCAGTAAAATATGACAATAAAGATATTTCCAAGTTGGGAGAAGTCTGAAAAAATACAAAAGCGTACTTTAATCGGAAAAATTCAACGCTGAATTCATAATTAGGAAAAAAAGTATTTGCACACTGTTTTTTTCTAATGAATGTTAAAAAACTGGCAAGACAAGTAAAGCAACTCATTAGTAAATTACCACCATAGCTAATGATAATGGTGAGAACAAGCTTGCGAATCTTCTGCATAACATCGTTACTATTGGTAGTGCGTGGATTGGGCACCGGTTGTAACTGTCGGTAACTGTGTAACACTGATGATAGCAACATATTATAGCATAGTTTTCAAAAGTGATTCTTTGAGAAAACGATATTGTTTCTATTAGTTACAAGTTCAACATAACAACTCGTTATATGTAAAATATAATATTTGTCCGTAAAGAGCAAAAGGTCTGACTAACGAGTTCACATCGAATGATAGATATCTGTTTGAGATTATTTCAGTTTGTTACGCACCTCCTCCCCCTCATTTTTACATTTATATCGTTTTTCGATATCAGACGCGTTCACGAAGCGCCTCATGAGCGCCTAGTGAGACATCTAGTGAGACATATTTGGACAAATTTCAAATTTTCACGCTTATCAAGTCTACGGGATGCCGCTATAGCCGAAGTTCGGTAAATTCGTTTTGTTAGACTTATGGTAAGAATAACATATTATCCACTGTATACATCATAGAGATCTAGCCAAATTTATGTTATTAAATAGTCCTCTAATGATGTTTTCCGTTATGCGTAGACGTCTTCTTCAGGTAACAACGATTACATAAGAAACCTCCCGAAGTTATTGTTTTATGACAATACATTACGTAATTCCCTATCGGCGGCAGGGACTAGGGATTAAGTTTTTTTAGCTCGATAGCTAAGTGAACATTGGTTAAATGAGTTACGTCTTTGCGCCAAAGCTCAATCGTGCCTCATTCACAGATTGATTGTTTATATATCTTCTACTGATCATAAACACATTTGATGTACATGGCCCTCGATAGCATTGAGGTAAATGCAGCCTATATGGTTAGGACTTCGAGCTAAATTTATAAAGACTCTCAAAGACTCTGTAAAATGGGCTCGAAAAACTACGCATGAATGCTTCCGGTTTCTAAGGAAAAGCTTTTTGTTAAAAATGTTTGAGTCACTGTGGTGTCACCACCAAGCTTATTCTGAAACTGAACAAATAATTGCAATCCAAAGCTTTGTGGTAAAGTTCAGCTTATCGGTTATGAACTGAGGACCAACAGGCAAAGAATATCAACAAGCTGTTTGTCATTGTTAAAAAGACTCTAATGTATATCAATTTACCAAGCACCAAACACACTTTTCCGTTAAAATAATGTCGAACATAGCATTCGAATATCATGATCAGTAACGTGCGACGGAACGCAGATGCCCTAAAGTACCTGTGCTGCAAAGGCCATGATTTGATAGTATACAAAAATCAAAACAAGAGTAAAAAAAATAGATATACTTTAGGGACGTTATGTTGAACCATAGATATTTTTATGTCATACTTATTGCCGAAAACGATTGCCGAACGATTGTGCTAATAACAAAAAATACCAGCAATTTAATGAATCGCCATAGAATTTTTTGCCGAGCTTGGTGTTTCATGCATTGTTTATACATTACATTATTTTGTAAACGATTACCTGTTAAAACTGGTCTTGTGTACGTATAGAGCGAATGTACTATATGCATTCAGTAGGAAGCCTTAATGATTTTTTTTTATCTCCGCTCAGGCTTCCAGGGTGCTCGTCTTAAATGTTGCAATGTGCCTCCCAACCTCAAGCATCCGGAGTGTTATGAGATCAGCGTGTCGCCAAATGACTCCTTCTATGCAGCGTTCAGACAAAATTGCCTTGACTATGTACGGTCATCAACTGCGCCCCGAGAAACTTGCGGTTTAGGCCCTCGTGAGCAGAACAATCAGGTCACATCTTTCGTGGATGGTTCAACGATCTACGGCTCATCAGAAGCAGAAGCTCGATTCTTACGATCATTCGAAGATGGCCTTTTGCTTACGCAACGAAATGATGCTGGGGAAGAGATTCCTGTTGGAGATGCTTCATCCTTGGACTGCCGTGGCTCAAAAACTGCTCCATGTTTCAGCTCAGGAGATCCGCGAATGAATCAAAATATCGGTTTGGCTTGGATGACCACTATGTGGATCCGTGAGCATAATCGTTTAGCTCGAGAACTTAAGGGGCTAAACCCTTTGTGGGACGACGAACAATTGTACCAGGAAGCACGTCGTATTGTTGGAGCAGAAATTCAACACATTGCCTATAATGAGCTACTTCCTACTCTTGTGGGTCCTGAAGTTGTTGAGAGATTCGGCCTCCGCATGGATAGCAATGGTTTTTTTACCGGCTATGATCACAAGCGTCTACCAGGAGTTACAAATGTAATGGGCTCCACTGGGCTATGGGCCCTCTTATCCGCTCTGCCAGGCAATAGTGAACTTTTTGACGCTCAACGCTTCCGCAAACTTGGATCCATTCCCTCCACTGAAACTGCTTTCCATCCCCAGGATCTCTATAATTCCAATCGCTTCCGTCAGTATGTTGCCGGAGCACTTATGCAACGTGCACAGCGCATCGATGCATCCTTCAGTAAACATATTACTCAAGACATGTTTGCTTCGGATAGCAATCAACCTGGTCTTGATCTAGCCTCTATTGCCATTCAGCAAGGAAGAGATCACGGTCTGGCCGGATATACAAAATGGAGACAATTCTGCGGTTTACGCGATATCGACAATTTCGATGGTCTCGCTCAAGTTATGGACCAAGACACCGCTCAGCAGCTGTCGGAGCTATACGAAAGTGTTAGTGATATCGATCTCCTTGTAGCTGCTCTCGCTGAAACTCCCGTAGAGGGAGGTCTTGTTGGCCCTACGCTAGCCTGTATTTATGCTCATCAGTTCCGTCATCTTCGTATCTCGGATCGTTTCTGGTATGAGAACCCAGGTCAGCCTAGTTCCTTCACTAAGAACCAACTGCAAGAGATTAGGCACACATCTTTGGCTAGGGTTATCTGTGATAACGTGTTCCACACTGGAGTAATTCAACCTCGTGTTATGCAGTTGCCTGACCCATGGCTAAATAACCTGCAATCATGCGACGATAGACTTCTTAGCTCCGTTAACCTTGAACCTTGGGCGCAGGAAAGTCCTCTTAAGGTATTGACCAATGGTCTAATGATTGATGTGCTAAACGACGCTAGCAACGCTCTTCGAGGTAATCTTCTTGGCGACGGAGAATTTGGATCGGGTCGGAACAAAGGCTTCATGCGAGCTAACGTGATTTCGCGCAACGTGCACAATCAGAGTGAGGTGCTCGAATTGGCTACGAAAAAGCTAATGAATGAACTTGGACGTGACAAGAGGCGAACTATCGATGACAACTTCATCCCAGCCCTGCGGCATGTGGACCTTTCAAAGTTCCATCGCGAATTCGAAGAACCCGCCGCTTGTGAACCCACACGTCTCCAGCCTTGCAATCCACGTACGCCATTCCGAACTATGTCTGGCCGATGTAACAATCTACGAAGCCCTAATTTCGGAAAGGTTTGTTCCTTTTATGCATTTTATCTGTGAGCAGGTGCCACGTACCTTTTCTCACCCGAGTGATTCCCTTAGCGAAGGCCGTTCGGAGTCTAATAACAACTTTAATCAAAAATTCTCTTTTGCTTTATCTATTAAACGCATCTTAAATTGGCTCAGTATAAGACAATTTAGTTGGCCGGAGCCCAGCCATTTCAATACGCTAAATTTCTAAACAAGATATTAGAAACACTTTATGGTCTCAACAATAGGGGTAAACTCACGTTAAATCATTTATAATATGCTACACGATATATTGAAAATTTCAGGATATGCTTATAATATTCACTATTACTAAATAAACTCAATCAATAAGTTTTCACTTTCAAGGCCAATTGCGCGGCGCTAAAGCGATATATTTTAAAATGATTTTGACCTATGAAAACAATACTGTTCAGCTTTACACCGGTATACTACATGTTGATAAAGGATTAAGCAAACGAGTTGATATAGTTACTATTAGCGGTACTTTAGGGCACTACCTCCAGCAGCAACCACCCTTTGGGACATGTCGCTGATGCTGTTTTTTGCTGCTTCAGCTCTTATTGGATCCTGTTATCCCACATTAGTGATTTTTTCCCGAACGTTTGAGATTTCCTGTCCTTGCGAACTTGCAATTTTATGATTTTCCAGATCTGCTTTATGGGATTGCTGTTTTCCCAGTGCCAGCGGGTGCTTCAAGCTCTGTGACTAGGCGCCCCACTCGTCACCGTCAGGGAATCATTCGCGTCCCTAAGGCAGAATTTTCCTCTTGATAATTTCAGCACATTCCTGGTGCTCTAAAGTATTCCTTACGCTAAATGTGTCATCCCAGTGTCTTTGGCACAAATCATCATAACATTTGACAGATTTTGATTTCCGGTACGACGAAGTTTTAGAAAAACAGGTCTGGAGGCATGAAAGGCAGTTTTCGAAAAATTTCAAAATGAGAAACGTTTGAAAATCCGACCTTTGCCTACTTTTTAATTTTTCTATATGATTTGCCCAATCATAAACCGACTCGTTTTGGTTGAGCATTCTTGGCAAGTCTGCTGTCTTTGAACCCAGCCTCTTTGAGTTTCCAGTACAGCGTAATTTTCGACACGTTATGTAAAGAAACATGCAAAATGACCAAAAAACACTCAAGTCAATCACATAGACACTACCACTTGCTTGTTTCACGCCGGAACAGTCGTGGTAGATGCTAAGGCAGAGCGCATCGGCACTATGTGGTTCGAGATATTAGTACGAAACATAAATGCCGGACTCGCATGAATTAGATCATAGCGAGCTACCACGTCTGCAACAGCTAAAACACGGTATCTCAGTTTTACATATAAGATTGTCAGCCAGTAGGTTGAAATTGCCTTCAGGTGTCCTTATCGATACATGGTATTAGTGTAGAGTAGAATAACGCCGCAGTCGTAAGCCAAAAACCGCTTGAAAGATCTCGTTTTTAATGCCGCGCAATAAATAATGGATGTTAAAACTATTTGATTGAGTACCAACCGTACATTTTTTTTATCCTTCAAACTACGAGCTGCCCATATTTATTCCAGTACAGAAACAGAAATGAGGACACTGTCTTTTGTAGGTGTCTCATTCGTTCCGCCGCATACTGCCCTCTCGATACGACGACAACATCAGCTCGGCTCGTCAGACCTCGGTAACAGGTGCTCCGCTTCCCCCAGCACGAGTGGTCTCCGCGGCTGTACACAGCGATCTATCCGTGCCTCACCAGAAGTACACCCAAATGCTTATGCAGATGGGACAATTTATGGACCACGATGTTGCCCACACCCCCCTAAGCGAAGGACCTAACGAGTCTACACTGAAGTGCCGCAAATGCGATTCTCCGCAAAAGGAGAATCAACAAGAATGTTTCCCGATACCGATTCCCCACGGGGATCCTTTTTTCCCATCTGTATCAGTCAAATCCGGACGTCCCTTGTGTCTTCCCTTTACGCGTTCGATGAGCGGACAGCGAACTTTGGGCTCGAGAGAACAGATCAACCAGGTTACTGGTAAGTCGACCATCTGCGAGGAGTATTAGACCAAATTTTCTTAGCATTTTAAACGCGTGTGCCATAGTCGACAAATTAGAGAAGGTATTCATACCTATAAATCCATAATATGAAACCTATGATATCAAGCGACTCTTTTATTTCAGGGTTCCTTGATCTTTCGACTGTTTATGGCTCGGACAACTGTGCTCGTGAAGAACTGCGTCTTCTGCACAGCGGTCAACTGAATATGTCTGCCCATCCTGCGGATCAATCGCTAAAGCCTCTTCTCCCAGAGATTCAGGGTGCAGCTGATTGTCTGTCATCAAATGATCGTTGCTTTATTGCTGGTGACACTCGAGTTTCGGAGCAACCTGCACTGACCTCAATGCACACTCTATTCGCTCGAGAGCACAATCGTATCGCTTTAGAGCTCAGCCGACTTAATCCTCATTGGGACGATGAAAGATCGTTCCAAGTATGTCTTATTTGCTATTAATTATCGAATATATAAAACAATGCATTTAGGTATGACAAAATCACGCTCTTGAGCAGACTTGACTAACTATATCGCAAACCATGTCTTGCATCCCAGTGTAATTCTACTTGCCGTAACTGACATATCGGTTCCCGCGCATGCGTATGTGTGTATTTACTTTCGCAGGAGGCTCGACGCATTCTAACGGCGATGTATCAACGGGTGATCTACAGCGAATGGCTACCTCGAGTGCTCGGATGGGAAGCTGTCAGTCAGTGGGGATTGAATCTCCTCGATTCTGGATATTTTGCTGGATACGATCCCACGTGCGATGTCGGTGTCTTCAACGAGTTCGCTACAGCTGCTTTCCGTTTTGGGCATACCCTTTTGCCCCCAGCCTTCAAGCTTCTTGGCCCGGCTTACAATGAGATCGGTCGCATTAAGCTAACAGACGCTTTCTTCAACTCGCAGATCCTCTACAAAAGTAAAATTTCCGTTTGTCTAGATTTGCAGGTAGCCATAATTATTAATTTTAGAGAAACAGCTTTTTAGCGTTTCTACAGACTTCGGGATTACGATTCCGCGGCGTGTGACAGCATCTCTGCTCTCGTTTTTATGAGTTTCCGGTTTATTTACTTTTTAGGAGACCAACTAGACCAACTGGTTCGTGGACTAATGGCGACTCCAATGGAGAACTTCGATAATCACGTTACCAATATGGTAACAGAGCATTTGTTTGAGTCGAAGACCATTCCATTCTCTGGCCTCGATCTTGTAGCCATCAACCTGCAGCGTGGAAGAGATCACGGGCTGCGTGGATATAATGACTATCGAGAATTCTGCGGTAAGCCACGTCTTAGATCGTTCCAGGATCTCCAGGGCGAGGTTAGTCCTAACGCTCTCCGAGGACTCTCCAGTGTTTATCGGTAAGTCTTACAGGCCGTTTGTACTATATTCACTCAGAAGTTATTCTATTATTAAGCCTTTATAGTACGTAGAAACTTCTAATAATGATATCTGTTTTCGTTACAGGCACGTGGATGACATTGATCTATTTTCTGGAGGTCTGTCCGAGATCCCCCTGCCTGGCGCTGTTGTAGGACCTACATTCAGCTGTATTATTGGCTTCCAATTCCAGAGATTGCGTCGATGTGACAGGTAACAGACGCTTATATTTTTACTGCTAGAAGCTCGAGAAGGGAGGTTCAGTGACTATCCGACTCGGTAGCTTGCAGCACATCGAAGCGGCCAGAGACAGAATTCACGCTGAAGGAACAATACCCCTCAACTTAGCGTACCGTAGTAACAGTAGCACTTAACTTGTTTGTGACATTTACGTGATTAATATAATTATTGACTATTATTCTTTGACAATTAGTTAGCTATTGTATTACGTGAAATTTATTTACGATGGAAATACATAAAAATATTGCACAAAAAAGGTAGAGACGCAGTGATACCCTATCGTTAAACATTTAGTAATCCGCAAAGATGGCGCGGATGAATAACGCTACACACTGTATGGACGAGTAAATACGATTGTAAACATTATTCCCCATCATCTTTCAGATACTGGCATGAAAATGACGAGCATTCAGTTCGCTTCACGGAAGGCCAGCTTGCCGAACTTCGAAAGACTTCATTAGCAAAACTTCTCTGCGAGAACATGGATACGACTAAGTTTGTGACAAGATCCGTGCTCGACCTTTACGATCCGTTCTTGTAAGGCACCAACATAAAATCAATTACTTTTATTGTAATAACGATGCACCAGTACTGACATAAGTGCTATTTGTTCAAATAATACTTCGTCCTTAAATAGCGATAGAGACAGAGATCACTGACATGCTATATACAGGCCGTGAGGCTCCGCCACGCTATTCAAGTGTACGTCCTAATATACAGCCTAGAGCCGTGCGCGCTTTCTGCACCCTCGTTACCGGATCTACAGAAATGCGGCAACTTCCGGTTAACGGTCATTCAGGGTTTACCGTGTTGGAGTCGATTATTCTCGACATTGTCGGCACTGACCTAACTTGCTCACTCGAACTGAAACAGTTACCTCGTCTGTTGAAGCTGCGTTTGTTGATGAATACTCGCATGGACCCCAACATTATCTGTGATGGTTAACTTCAAAAGTAGTTATTGCAACAGGAACTAACTCCACAGCAAGAGGCACCACCAGCACAGAACTTCACAACTTACCCGACCCTTTTGTCCACCGACGAATGCGCTAGCCTCTCAACTTCGTCTATTCTAGCGACGACGCACGAATACCTCTCCCAGTGCTACTAATATAACATAAAGAACAACAGCGACGGGAATTCCTAGGATTATTAACGGAATAATAATAGTAGGCTAGGCATGCGGATCATTATGTCTAAAAGGACATATCAGGCAAAATCAATAATCTAAAAAATGCTGTTAATGAACATATTATTGTGGATAAACGATGCGAAGTTGAAGTTTAAAAACATTCACATTTTTTATTATATAGCAGGATAAATTCATATTAAGCGTCTGGTAATATGTTAATTATTTCGAGTTGATCTGTTCATTACAGGAATCCTCGAGTGTCCTGCCAAAGTATACCGGGAACAAATCTCGCCTTCTGGAGAGAAAATCCCAACCAGCAGGCGTAACTAGTTCAACACTGCAATACAAGCGAATGTTTGAGCCTTATTTACATGAAACACCGTGTTTCCATCAGCTGCTATTAATTCACCACAGTTTTCCACTTGGCAAGAAATACTGGAAATCTTGCACAGGACGAAATCGCATAAAGGCAAAAAGTAACAGAGACAGAAGAAATCTAACAACAACACACACATACACAGATATTTCAAACGGATCTTCAGCTAGATGACCGGCTGGATCGAACGTTTTGTACGTAGTAACAAAAAAAAAAAACATTTATATATATATATATATATGTATGGACATAATCGATATAGATTATGCAGACCCAACGAGTCCGTGTCGTGACAGCACGTTCATACAGGACACTGTGGATCATTGTGGGCAATGTAGTGTGAAAGGTTAGCATAATATAATGGGGCAAGCGGAGCTGATATCACATTGCAAAAAGTCTAAGCAAGCTATATCAAAAAGAAAAACAAGGTAACAAAAAAGCGTCAGCCGACTGGATTCGCTGGCTTGAATTTTTTTTAGTCATTGTGGATGCGACCACTTGCAGGATCAGCGCGCGAGGGATTCGACCATCCAGACAAATACTTCAGTATAAATTTAAAACTGTATGCATCAGATATTTTCGATCTTAAAATGTTGTGTTCATTAAAATCATTTCTCTAAGGCTTTTTCGTCACTTGAAAAGGGTCGTACAGCAGATTGTCCATAGAGACGCATAGTCAGAATGATCGTCCAACACCATCAAGAGCAATTAGAAGATTCCATGCACAGCTGCTGGCGCGCAGAGCGTTGATTATAAAGCGGGCAAGCGATTCCATCCATTTCAAGAACAGCTTATAGTCGACGCCAAGCCTTGTGGGAACTGACCTGGGAGACGATGATCGGATAAGGACATATAAAAAAAAATAGAGGCACAATGTGTCAAGGTTTATTATTTAAATCTCTACAAATATTATTATAATTATTAAAATGACCTCGTAAAGTTGCTGTGCAGAACGGCAAAATTGTCGGTTCCAATGAACCAACACCTGTACATAATCTGAATAAATAATAAATGCAATATGAGAAATCTGTAAAACGTGAATTTTAGTCTTTAATCAGCTTGTCTATGTTTATCGTTATGAGCAGGCGAAATTTATTCCTATTACTAAGTAGAGGCTTCGCTCAGAGAAATTCTATAATATTGAAATAATGAATAGGAATATTTAGTTAGGCTCAGCTAGCGAAAAGGAACCAGCAATGCATTCTTTGCGTATTATATACGTTCATTATTTTTATAGTATACTGTACTTAGTATACTTATAGTACATACATATATGTATATTCAATTGTATCTATACATGAGAAAGCATGATCATTCGCATAAAAACTCTTGACATGCAAACAAATGCCCTGGAGTGCAGCAATGATAGGATATTACTTGTGTAATTGCCGATGAAGGATGCTGCTTCAAACTTGTAAGCCTTTATTCAGTATGACGTATGAGGTTATAGGAGACGAAGACCTTGCTTAGGGCAATCTTCCACTCTAATATATAGAGCACTACTATTTGATTAACGACACAACGGCCAATTTCAGGGCTGATATGTATGAAGTCACGCTTCTTCATGAGCGTCGCTAACTGTGACCAGCAAAGTAGTCGAAGTCCAATAGGACATCACACTAGACAAATGTACGTAGTTACTCGTACGGTGTCTTGAGATAGAAGCAGCGGCCTCGATAAACCTCGTGTGAAGTGTACGCGTGTTATCTCGATTGCGAAATAATTGCAGAGAATTGCAACGTCAAAGTACTGAAACATACAAACTAAAATTTCAGACTGACTATAACTTACTACGTCTCAGTTGAAATCAACGCCGTGGCGATAAAATAGTCCCATTTAACTCTTCTTAATTAGTACTATTAGCTAGGCTGCCAGACATTGATGCCAACTGACCTAAATGCAATAAACAGGATGTTAGAAGTTGTTAATCCTATCTTCTTGTGCCTATTGTCTTCTGCTAGCATTTTCACGAGCGTTAGTCCATCCGCGAGAACGAGCTGAAATCAATGTCTGCTAAGCGAGTTACTCAGAGTCGAGCACGATTTTCGTACAAAGTTCATGATCGCTGTAACTAATAAACGTAACAGTTGTGCTATGAAAAATAACTTGAATCACTAGCCCAAGGGTAGAGCGACGGTAAGATGTTAGCGGCTGTTAACGATAGCCTCTACGTGAACAGTGTTATTGCTAATTGCTTATTAATTTGATGGTGTTCCTTTTTAGATGTTAATTATTTACTAGCTTGTCGCTAGAGCTACTGCAGTGATAGATACTGCATTAAATTCCAGTGCCCATTTACGGCCAACGTGATGTTCCTTATACACGTCCGCGATAGACCCTTAATATTAATTGCTAGCTATTACCCTTATGGGTTATTAGTACTTCCTGTGGGAATCAAAATTGACCACACTATCGGATATCGGCAGAATTTATAATTCCCTTAATAATTTGTTTGGACCACTGGACAAAGTAGACGAAGACCTGGCAAGGTGTAGATAGCTGTGAAGATTACCAACTAACTAATGAAAATTAATTAGAGGGTAGACAAAGCGTGCTCCATAGATGTGCCCGTGCACCAACCTCGAAACGCTTAGCAAATTTCGCCACTCTATATTCCTAGGTTGGTGTTGTAATCGGGTGGAAGTACGGCTGTATGTTACGAAAAAATCTATTGACACACGGTCCTGTCATTTATTCTATTTGCATACTTTAAAAATAACTAACACAAAATTAATTTTACTTGTACAATAGTGCAGGATATGTTATGAGTTATGACATAATTTTTCTAGTTTGGACTATAACATGAGCTTACATTCGGTACGTTGTTTTTAGCCCTTTTTTTCGTGATTGGAAATAGCTGCGGTTATGTTAGCTTAATACCCGTGTACGGCTGAAGTCGCAAACTTTTTTACCCGCTAACCGTATAAGTAAAACAAAAAATTAGCCCATATATGCGCCACGGTTATTATGGGCATTAAAAGTGATTGTTTTGAGTTTACGTACAAGCTTCTAGAGTGTACTATCACTCGCCTCCAGGAGGGCTTTGCAAATACTCTGTTCCTCTATTACATAAATTCTGCGCAAGAGATGTATGTACAAAAACAGATGGTAAATTATACGTTACAAGGAATGAATGACAGCTCTATCGTAGATTACCGACTTGAGAAAAATAAATCCACGTGGTAAATCTTTGTAATTTCTTACTGGTGATGAAACTACACGACATGCGGTGTTTCCATTCCGGGTCGATGAAATAGAAGACCTCGTTGGTAATGGTTACAGCTCGCATAATCATGGCGGCCGAATTTTTTCGTTACTGTATTTGAAGTAACAATTAGAATAGTCGCTGATTCACTAATATATAATAATTTGTCATGTCACTAACGAGAGCCACAAGAGCATCTGTGACAAAACAGACTTTGGTTACGCGGTACACGCGAACTAAATTACAGTTCAATAATATATATTTAAAAAAAGTTTTTTTTTATGCTACAAAAGTCAAATCAAACAGCGCGCGCTTGTGGTGACCTTTTTTTTTTCTAAGTATTTTTTGCTCGATTTGCTGAAACTGTCTATTAGATAACTATGCCTATTATTGAGGTGCTTACTTTTTCCGAGTAACTTGCCTTACAATCCTGTAAACACCAACGAGATAGCGTCTGACGTAAACGCTCAAGAAATATTGGTATTGAAGAACATCATGAAATTACCGCGGAAAAACTTTTGAACAGAACGGAGCATTGATAGGACGCTTACTGTTGTGGCAATATCGAATTCTGTGAACAATCCGTCACAGAGACCGTCTGAAGAGTTCGGACGATGAAGAATAGCAACAACCAATCGGTTTCCGGCAACCTAAATCCGAAATACATCCAAATCGTGTGGCGCCCTCTTGTGATCGTATTACCCGAAGAAAAAACAAGCTAGACTACGCCATCGTCATCGACGAAACCTGTGACAAGTAACAGAGAAGACGATAATAATAATAATAATAATAATTCACTGTAGTAACAAATTTGCAACTTAGTATACACTTTATTTTACTTAAAAAAGTCACCAACGATTTTTTTTTTACTTTTGTGATAATCTGTTGAATGAAACACTCTCTGAGAAATTGCTCATAGGTTGAGCGGTGCGCGAAACTTACGCGATGCGTCTAAAGACTTCCCTTAAGACCAAGACACTTAGTCTGCTTAAAAACAATCTTTTCATAGAACTTGCTCTGATATTTTACTTCCTTTGGCTTGATACAGCATACGTACATGCGGCACCGCGATGGGACACCAAAACCATAGAGGTCAGTCGTAGAGCTTATTTCAGTTTCTCTATGTCTTATGTCCGCTTATGTTGCCGTCAGGCGTTCCATGAGACGGCTGAATTCCAGCACGAAACGTGCGGTGCGTCTATGGCCGGGTTGAAATTAGAACTCCAGCTCACTTTCGAATTCGAGATCTGGCATCACCTTTTAAGTTAACGAATTGCAGCAAGTTCTAGCTTAAAAGAATGGCAATCCGTTTTTAGAGATGAAGTTACAAGATGGTCTGTAGGGTAAACTTGAATTAGAGCGTAAAGCTTTACCTTTCCCTTTATTCTGTGTGTGAAAAACGTTCTGTGAACACGAAGAAGTTGTCAATACTGGATGGTATAACTTTGTATAAGCCAACTAAATACTTTACCCTCTTATAATGTTTTATTTACGTTTACTCTGTAACATGGATAAACGCACCATCTTACAGTGGGTAATTTTGAGCAATTAGATTGCGCCAAAACCTTCTTCCTCAAACGAGCATTGGAACTATGCGTAGTGACCCGAAATTGTCTCCTTGTTGGACCTACGTCGCCACTTTAGTCTTCCAGCAACGGACACCTTGAAGACGAACTTCAGGAAAAAGAAAAGGAATTCATAGAAATTAATGAGTATTTCTTTGCTTCGGGTGTGGCAAAAAATAATATACGGAGAGCGATGAATCAGCTAGATACATATGCCGTAGCTATTTGTTTTGCCGTCAATGGATTTCACAGTAGACCATGCAGGGAATAGGTTTCCACAGGCTCCGCGGTATGTGCTCCATATGCAGAGAAACTTGTGATAGATACCATGCGGCTCGATGCCCTTTGGTAAAATCTTTAGTACATCAGGGAAATCGCTCGAACTCGACAAGATATACCCCCATGACGCAAACTGTTCTTAAATGTTTTTATATATCCTCTTTGATATGGAGATGTCATGTTATTGACCTGTAATTATGGGACTTTATATGAAGTTATTATAACTCATTATAACTACCAGTCAAATTTGATTTGAGAATTATTTCAGCCAGAATGGTGTCCCTGCTTTAAGAAAAGGTGTCTCTAATGAAAATTAAGAAAATTATCTGTCTGAAAGGTTTGCGCTAATCATGGTGGGTTTGAAAAAGAACAATAAACATATTCATGAAATATAGGGAACATACCTACTTGAAAAGGAAACAACGTATCAGGCTCAGATGAGGCAACAATATGAGGTGTCAGACTTATCAATAAATGTATTATATATGCTTGCATATGTGGACGCAGGTTATAGAAATTGTACTGGTTGATTATCTCCTTCCCATAAATACCTAACTCCTTATAGGGATTGACCTGAATCAGTAAGGGTCCAATGATTGTCTGAGACAAAACAATTTAATAAAATGATATGTATTTCAATAGAATTAAGGGCTCGGACATGCGAATTTCGTAATGTATGATATTCGTGATGATTTGGGCAGCTAAGCCTCTTGGTAAAAGGGGCAAACGTCGCTGGCGTAAGTTCTATCATTGATATATTCATACACTATACAACATGTATGACTAATAGATTAAAGTAATTAGTGATATAAAGATTTATAGGGATCCTTCATAGCTTTGACCTGATCTTGTGCTTAAGAAACGTCGTTCTGTCACTCTTCAATTACAAACTTTTTTATGAAGCACCATTACTTGCAATAATTTTCTCGTATACGACGAGTATTTCAGGTTCAACTCTCAAAGAGCTATAGGTATTAACTTGCCCCGTTTACGAATCGAATATGCCCCCAATGGCAAACGACTGAAAAAACACCTACATCAGTTGAAATGTTTTTGGCTCTCAGCTCTACCAAACAATAACAGGAGCACCTGCTTTTAATAAACAATGGCTCGAAAGAATCTGAAGTCTAAACAGCTTTTTAAAGCGTTAGGGAAGAACTTTACTGAAGAAGCAATATAGTCCCGAAGATTATACTGCGTGCAGTCAACATCATCGACACGTTAACTTCTCTGATGAGTGCTCACATATACTGCATTCTCATGGAAACGTTTTTTAGATTGTCTATGAAGGCGCGCCCGACAGAAAATCCTCTAACAAGACAAGATCATGGGCCATACGCGATCGCCCACTTGCAGTTCATTCTTTTTGCTGGTCTGTAAGAACAGAAATGGTAAAGATATGGATGGATCTAACGTTTGAAACATCTGTTTTCAATGCTGAGTTCAGAGCTTTAAGCAGCAAATTTATAACGTATGGACCCTTGCTCGAAATTTTCTGTTCTGGCGCTGTGCTTCGTCTTGGACAAAGCCTTACCAACAGTAACTGCTTCAAGCTTGGCGATGCAACTATAATAATAATAATAATAACGTATTGATAATATGTAGCCGTGTAATATACGAAGTAAGTTGAATCCAGTGTGTTGCCGTTGTTTTTCGTCACTCTATTGTTCAATCTATATGAAGTTGATTTGTTTGAGTGACAGTAGATATATCCACAGTCCGCCAATGTTGGTGTCCAGGCGCTATCGTCAGCGGCAAGCATCCCGATCATTAGAATAACTAAAATAATGTAATAGCTATAACTAAAGGGCTAACTTGAAGGGCAACAATGTATTCCAACCAATCTTCGAATAGGATTTGGTATCTTTATCGGCTCGGTTGAGTATTACAGAGCATTTGACGAAAAACGAGAAACGTACGGTACGTCATAGGTAAATTAATTAGCTGCTACACAGTCAGCTGATCAGGTCCACGAGTAAGACATTTCGGCATTGAAGAAAAATGTCTCGAGTAGCAAGTACATTCTCGCTTGAAGTGCTCTTAGGCTTGTTAAAAACATTTGTGTTTATAGTGTGTGTGGGCGCTAGGTGGAACGTCCTACATTGAATCAAAACCCCCTTTCTACTTGTGAACCCCTACAATTCTGCAAGTACGAGATTGTGCAGCGAAATTTCGGAATCAATTATTTTCGGAAGAAATGATTATTTTGATTTCATTATCATCTTTGAGATCGCAAAACCACATCTACTTAGGCCATCTAAAACAGAGAACGAAAGAGTGATTTTTCTTCTTTCTCATTTTACTTTGCTACCATACGTGTTTTTTTTTTGTTTAATATCACAATAGGAGAATTGCACTAACGATAATAATGATCACAGTTAAATGATCGATCCTCGGCGTTCTCGTGGTACGTGTACCGTGGAGTTTGTTGAGGTATTTGTCATTGCACAATCATTGCACGCTATGTTTATTTTAACCTTTGAACAAATCATACATTGGACCATACGAGAGCTTGACTAAAAAAAAAAAAGAAGAAAAAAAAAGAGTTTTGTTTCATATTGATACTCCTTACTATTAATTGTTGATATACCGTGCGGCACAGCTTTCGTTGTTACGGTCCGCACCGCTAAATACCCTACGTGCATACATTAGTAACTACGTATTTCGCAGAGTTGATCGACTGCGTAATCTCACTAGCACGGACTGTCTTTTTTTACTAGCCGGATTATATGTGCATCTCGTAGGATCGACTAAACGTGTACAGCGTTCGGTCCACGTAGCTTTCGTTCCAATCGCTCTACGAGTGCAAACGGAAACTAATTACATTAACTAGATGTTCTCATTTAGAATTTTGCTAGTATTGAAACTTTTTTTTCTTCAATTACTTTGTTCAGATACTCCTTCACTGAAAGGAGAGTCGATATTAGGCTCGGAGGGGCGTGCTCAGGAGTATGTATATGATCCCTTACGGTGTCGTTCATCTCTTGTTATTCGTTCGTTAGTTTTTGGCTAACATTTAGAAGTGTAGATGAAAAAAAAACATGTAGAAAGCTCCCAACGTCTACTCCGACATTTGTGATACTCAACGAAACGGAAATTTATTAACTACAGTAATTTGTACGATGCTTTAGCTGTCAGTACAATATCAACACAAACATAGCAGATAATTTCGTAAATTTGGAGGCATACAGTCTCTAGTTATAATCCCGTATTATTGATACGGTCGATACTATCTTAAATGTTTATATTTCTCACTGCACCTATATTGCTAACGTTAGCAGATGCAACGTTCATTGTTGTCAGATGCCGTTGCCAACTTTTGTGGCTAAGATGATGGAACTAGGGAGGGCCAAATTTAAATAGTTGCCGGATAAGCAGTTTAAATAGTTCCTGTCATATCCTTGAAGGGCGATTGTTCATATGTATCTGCTAGTCTGGGTCAAATTGAAGCCTGTATTTCCAAAGCACATTACTGTGAGAAGCTACAACGCTAGAGTCATAGTTTCCGGTTGGTGGAAAATAGCCATCGCTGCATTGCTTATTCCTAAGGGAATACTCACTGTGGGCAAATGACAGCCAGGCCGAATGTTTTTATTCCTAAAATAGTAACGTATTTGTCTGCTAATCGTAGGTACTCAGCAGTGTTGTTGAAACGACAAAATAGAAACCGATGAATATAATCACAGTACATTCTCCTTCTCGACCCCTTTGAATACGTTGTGGTCTGTAGTTAAAGAGATAACTAGGGAAAAGTTAGAACGGTTCTCTAATGAATACCAATATAACGAGAGTTGATAGCTGCAAAAAATTAATCGTCAAGATTGCGATGTCAATCTAGGGAGTAACCTATGTAGCAATATTAAAATAATATCAAAACAAATAGTGTGTTTCTGTTTTCAACAACTTTTTTAGTTCGATTCATTAAATAAATTTCGCATCCTTAAATGCCTATAGATCGCTGACGAAAAATGAAGCAATATTCAGAAATATTTCCTCCTCTAAAGACCTACTTCTATATGAAATCGCATGCACTAGAAACAACGCGCTATCTTTGTTAAAACAGAAAAAAAAAATTATTTTATTCCGTTAAATGGCACATTTGCAGACAATATTAATCGTCATGGTACCGTTAAAATGGCATACTTCAGCTCAAGCCAAGGCATGGTGTCTATTTATATATATGTATATATATCCTGGCCCCACTATTGAAAAAAAGAATCGAAAATCAAATTACACTTGACCTCTACTTAAGGCATAAATGAGCGCCACATATCCTCAATTTTAATAACAAAATGTCCGTGATCTAAACACAATGACATTAAGACGTGTACATATGGTTATGCAGTAATTGGCAAATAAATCTTTTTGGTCCCTGGTTAAACTTTCCACTTTGCGGTAGTGACCATTAGACCATAATTATCGGCCTTTTTGCGGTTCATAAACTAGTGCTGATAACAGAACTCGTATTAGAACGCCGAGCATAAAGCTGATTATATTTCACTGTTTAAGTTAACTAACTTTATTTGGCGGTCAGGTTTCTATTTTTTACAAAACCATTACGCAGTTGTTCCATCTGGATCTTGTGTTTTTGGTTCGATCACTTTTATTTCAGTTTCATAAATTTATGAACTTCCCTGCTTCTGTCCGTTAGTTGAGATACAACTTAGATGCCAATCGAGAGAAAATTGCATCAGCTATATATCTGTTGTAGTTTGGTAGGGCCAGCACATGTGTATGGCAATACACTCTAATAGGGTCAAACTTTATTCCAAAACCCCCGCTCTTTCATTTACTGTAGAGAACATAGCACACGTCATATAAATCTGACTTCCGTTTGCGGTCATGTCCTCACGATTAACAGCTAATTTGCGACATGACTGCCTTTCGTTCGTGCTACAGATAACATCCCCTGAAAATTCACATAGCAGACATTTATCCGATGCTCGACAACCAACCACGCTTCCCGGATATTGTCTTCTGTCTTGGATTATATTAAGTAGTTTCTTGTCTTGTACATTATATTCGTATTTGTATTCCGAAGCAAAACACAACAGTCAAGAGAGCTTCCTTCAAAAGGTCTGGGCAGTTCAACTAATGGCTTCATCGGCTGATTGAAGTATGAATGCCGTTGGCCGTTTTTAAAAATGGCCTTTCGAACGGCACTATAGGTGGGTAGGACACGCTGAGTCGGTGTAGGGAACTCCAGTCGCAAATGCATATTAGCCTCGCAATTACGCAGAAAGGGAAGATTTTTATTGTAGAGCGCTGCTTAATGTTTTTTTACTTTTGTGAATTTTTCGTTAGCTTGCTCTGATATTGGCAGACTGCATACACACAAACCACGAAGTGCTAAATATAGATTTTTGATGATGACCGAGAGGGTACTTTGACTCTGCCGATGTCAAGTTTGTAACACACGTAACGGACTACATGGATATCTGAAAGAGCAGAGGAAATTTTGATCCTTGAGTATGTCTACGGAATACATACTTCTACGACTTCTTAGTGTAGATTCCAAGCTTTTCAAGGTAAACGGCCTATTTGCGCCTTTGCGTAAAATTCAAGTCCAAATCTCTTGCCTTTAGGCAAAACACAATTTGGATTCAAATCGGTTTCTACAGAATCGACGCATATAGCTAGTAAGTGTCAAATAAGTAACAGAAAACTCACGACATTGAGGCTTCCACTCTTGGTTTTACTGATTTCCTCTTTAGCCCCTCGTTTAAACTCAATAGTTCCAGTTTTGCCACCTGACAGCTGATGCTGTAGCCTGAAAAAAGTTGAAAGAAAACCTTAACGAAATTCAGGAGGAAAATTCGCAATGATGTTTATGATAAACTTGGAAGGCTGTTATAGAAACCGTAATTTACTATTAATGGTCAAATTTGCAGCGTCTGCAATGCATTTTATACTACCTATTTAAATATGCCTTTGACAGCAGGTCAGCTCAGCTAAGCGATTCACCCTAATATGAGCCGGCGCAGATGTCAAGGAAAATGCCTATGTGCAGCCATAGTAAAAGTTGTAATTTGTTTTACTCTAGATAGCACTTGAATTCGCGAAGTTTCCTAGCGACAATGTGCGATTCTGTTTTACATTGAGGTACTGCCAGTAACCTCAGATGAACAAAAACAAGCAATCCAATGATTATTCTTTCACCACAGGATTAACTGGGCCGAAATATGTGATTACTTAGCATTTTCCGGAGTGATGTGTACGAGAGTACGCTTCTTTGCGAGCATCGCTAACCGTGAAATGCACTCGATCAACGAACGGTCGCAATCCAATATCAGGTCTCCCTATCGAACAAAGTTATAGAGTCAGTTCTCTATCCAGTTCCGAGAGAAACTAACCATACATACATTTAATAAATCCTAACTAAAGACGAAGAACGCAGAAAGAAAGTCACGCGAGTATTAAACAAATAATAGATCTTCAAAAGCCAAATCTTACCTTTTCGTGTTTGATGTCTTCTGCTGGGATTTTCACAACCATTAGTCCATCCGCCAAGGAGCTTACATTGACACCTGGGAAAGAAATCCTTCCAAATCAGAGACGTGTTTTTTTTTCCTCCTACATAAAATGCATTTACTGTACATAAAGTATCTTTAGAACATGCATACGAAGCGGTAGCGACAAAACTAATAGCATTTTTATGATGTTTTTCACACTGTGGGAAATCAAAGAGACCATAAGAATCGACTAAAGTCGTAGGTGCATCAAGCGATGCGAAGCATTATTCCTATTCTTTTTGTGTTAGTATTTCGACTCGTTTGGATTGGGTCGAAGTGATTTTGGTGGAGCTGTTGCAGAGAGAGACGATGGATCAACTCCAGCGCAGTCGGTCTGCCGATTTATGGCCAGCGTGGTGTTACTTACAAGCATCTGCAATTTTAATCGGTAACATTATTATAGAACATATATCACCTATATGATCACAGATCTAAAATAAGGAACGATTTCAATAACGATCAGATGTTTAGAATTGAAATCTTAGCCAGATTTTTCAAGAGCCGTGTTAGCATATGCCAGGATAAACATTAGTTGGTTTTTTAAAGTTTACAAAAAGCTCGCTGTGAACGTAGACTGTGCTCGCAAAGCAATACTTGTTGAAATGTTCTATTAGTGAACGTTCGGATGAGATAGGAAGCATCACAATAACGAAAAATTAATATTTACCGCGTTTGTATATAATATGTTTCATTAGCAATATATTAAGTAATTATTTTCTTTCATTGTAATTCCCCAGATAATGTGATGAAGGCTCTAGAGGCTAGTAAATCTGACCCTGCCTGACTCATGTCTCAACGACTAGCATTTGTTATCTATAGATAACTATAATTTTCGTGCAAGAGGATCAGATAAATATGATCCCACGTGACGATTAAAATATGTGCTCTATATATAATTTGCTTTTGTTTATATACATATTAATTTCAATATTTTACCGGCGATGGAGTTGTACGGTATACGATGTTTCGGCTTAAAGTCTTTGGAGTCGACAAGATAGAAGGCCTCGTCGGTGAGGATCAACACTCGTTTCCGAGACTTGTAACCATGCCGATCGAATTTCTTCACAGGTAAACAGTACTGCGCGCAGAATCGCCGAACAAAAAATAATTAGGTGAAGCCAATCGGTAATTTCACCAAAAGATTGGACAAATAGAAATATTGTCCGGGTACTAGCGAATGGAAACATATCTAATAAAAGACACTTCGCTAAATGATTATTTACACTGGTAATTATTGCTGCAAAACTTAGACTTCACTGCGACAAACCTCAATCTTTTCCTCAGGACGACTTTTGTGGGATTTGTTGAAGGTGTTTATTAGATGGCTATGCGTGTTATCGAGGTGCGACTCCACAAACTTGTGTTTAACGCTCTCGGGATAACTGGCCTTACGATCCTGTCGGGATGGATAACAGTTAAGTCTGAAGACAGTTGACTCACAAACTGGCTAACGTGAAATTACTGTTGAAAGCTTTGTCAAAAGAAAATCCCAAAAGGCTCAATGGAATCACCTTAAAGATGTCACTAGCCTCGCGCTTCCACTGGAGTTGTGTTTTGCGCACTGGAGTGAGCCTTTTCATGTAGTTACGCACCAGGGTGCGCTTGTGCAGGGCTTGAAGGTAGCACGATGCTTCCTGAAAACCGCATGCACGAAAATAACAGATATAACTGGTCGGAATATATCCCCGCATATAGGCGATTATACCTGCTCTCGGAATTAACTGGTAAAATTAGACAATCACAATCAGAAAAGTACACTTCGAGCACAATACCATTGTTTCCACAAGACGTCGGTAACGAATCATTCGTTCGTCAATCCTAAACAACAAATGTTCTCTTCCTCAACTAAGTTTTGACTAATTTTCTTTCGTATCTCAATATGAATAAGCACCTTCTTCTCTTGCCATAAATACGGGTATATAGTAGCACAGCCTAAAGAAGAACTACTTAAATCGGATCAGCGTAGATGGATTTCAAGTAGCATTCTTCTCCACCAACAACAGTAAGCACTGGCGTTAGTACTGCATGTCAATCTGTGAACACGCGTTATGTTGATCAGTACCTTTTTGAACCTGTTTGTTGTTAGATATATATATACCGGTCTAAATATCCGTACGCTCAATATATAGTTATCTGTTGACAATACTTTGCAGCGAATCCACTGCATGTTAACGTTGCAATGCAATAAGAAAAGGCGAGGCTTTAAGCTATAGATATTAAAAATAGTATACTAGAGATAAAGGACATCGTTTAATTTCAGTTATAGGATATTCTTTTTCGGAGACGCGTTGCCTTATCGGCGCAAGTGTATACAGACAGAATTAACAATATGAACTAAACGGAATCACTAAAAGGGCTTTCATAGGTGTTAATCATATTCTCCCTTACCTGGCAGATTAGCGGAGCCGTTAGCCACGAGTTATCGAGGACAGTCTTCGGTAGGCTTCTAGACAGTCGACGTAGATACTCAGCACGGACCTGCTGGACAAACTACGCCGCATATCCACGAAAATATACAGATGTATTCACGGAGTACGCTAGTTTTTTTCGGTTTTGGTCAAAAGTATTGTTATTATTTGTAAGGTTGCCACCTATAGTAGGATGCGGATCGAAGTCACCCAATGAAAAATCAAGTTCGATCATAATTACTCGACGATCGGCCTTTTCTCGAATTATTTTATAGCGAGGTATTAGATAGCAAACGAATTTATTATATTCACACTCCGATATTCACTCATTAATTTTTTTCTAAATTGAGCTGCATTCAGGTTGCTCATGTCTGCTGTCGGACATGGCTTACCTTCCTGTTGATTTCATTCTCTGGCTGATTTCTGGTAATGAAGCCTTTAATGAATCTGAAATTAATTTTATTTGTTAATAGAATTTTTTTTTTTGTTTTCTCTCTATTCGCGTAGAGCGTAGCCTTTTAGAGATGTAAAGGATTTGAATTTTAGATGCTACCGTCAAACATTGCTTCAGACATTATTCGGAAACTTATATGTCCATGTTATGAATGACCCCTGACACTGATTACGACAGTTCTATCCATTAGAACGAATAAGAAATTTCAAATATTGAGCTACCTTTACATATGTTTAGCTTGTTGACTTCCAATATCTAGTACGTAGTAGTTGTTGTTTAAAAGTATCTATTAGGAGGGAAGTTTGTGCAGTCATAGAGCATCGTATTGTATTTACCTCCGGATTATTTCAGATGCAGCTTTACGACGCTTAAGCTCCTGTCGCGCTTGATGACGTCTCCAAAAGCATTGGATGCACAGCGCTAAAATGAAAATCGATATTACATTTAGAGCTGATCAGAGCATTAAAGAGTTATTAGAATTAACACATAAACAACAATTAGCAAGATTTTTTAACAGAATAAACTTACCAGCCTTCTTCATTCGCTTGAACTTGCTGCGTGCAATGAACGACCGGATCTGCGCTTGTAGAATAGCGGCTGTGGCAGAAGGAGTAGTTAAGTAAAGAGCACGACTTTAGCAAACCGGAAACGTGCTCTAACATCTACTTGAAATGAGTTCGTATGTTCTCGCGTAATTACCGTTTCGAGAAAAACGTTTCAAAAAACTTTTCTGCGCCAGGCAAACTTGATAAAATTAGATTTAAACGTATTAGCTACATAGCGTGCTACTGCTCAGAATACATATTTGTAAACGTATTGTTGTCATAGTATATAAGTTAGATCATTTGAAGTCAGCCGGATCTGCCTAGCGTGAATCGAAGGAGTTGAAAGTTTTTTGAAGAAAGAAAAAAAACAAGTGAAAAAACTGAACACGAAGCATTTTGTGCTTTGCAAATAACCTCCTGAGTAGTTATGGCATCCCAACGAGATCTGACCTGATTCACTTAGGGTAAACAAAAAGCAGTCCCAAAAGCTCGCGTAGTCGTGCGTGAACAGTACACGCGTGTAATAAAAACGTCAAGTTTTGAAACTCGTATTTTAAAACGTTTTCCTTTCAGGAGGCACATTTTTTTTCAAGTCCCATTCGCACATGAACGGGTCGAGCTGGTAAAATCACTAAAGCTTCGCCAGGATTTTTTTAGGCCCTGCTAATAGGTCAGTGCGCCAGGACCGCCGATACAAGCAACAGTAATTTTCTTCTACTTCAACTTCTAATAGCCGCAGACACATAATTTGTCGTAACAGCTATATTTGAAAAGGTTTCGTTGATAATTTTGTGATTCTTTTTGATTCAATGTTTTCTTTTTCATTTTATTCACCGGTTTGTCTTTTGTTTAGTAGCAATAAAGCAGAGAAAATAAGCTTCCTAAAGAAAGTTTATCATATACTTAGCTTACCAATTTCGTGCTTCCTTCTCTGTAGAGCATCTTCAGTTTCAAAAAGCGTCTTCGGGAACCGAATGAATATCTTTGATCTGAAATTTAGAATACACTTTATTTGCGAATATCGAGTCCATGAGATTCAAATTCGGCCGGGGTATATATATTTAACCGCGAAATTTAAACTAACGACCGCTAACCTCTCCTCTGGAAACTATATTACGGCTAATACTAAGCAAACGATACTTGATCTAAGTTTTGATGCCTACCTGCCGAGACTGTACTCGTCAGAATGATATCGTAGATGGTTGATCAAGGTTTTTACTCCATCGATTGGCTCTCCGCGCCATACGGGCCATGTCTCAAGACAGAGTGGCTTGTATCTGCGGGGAACGTACAGCTTGATCAGGCAACTTACGAATATTTCTATGCATGTATCGTTGGTTCATTTTCATTTGCCCGTATTGTGGTGTCAGAAATTACGTGGAAAAGTAGAAATCCAGCATTCCACTCATGAGCAATAGGCATTGTCGAGCGTTGAAAAATACTACCACACCGTCGCGATACCAATCAGTTTTCGAGAGTGTCTGTTGGACAACTTTTTTTAGCCGATGAAGACCGAGGTTCCTCGATTTACACAGCTTCTCGAGTTATGAGACATCTCCAGACACATCACTGAAATGAATTGCCATCCTACCTTTGCAGAAAATGCTCATAGGTCCGGCGGTACGCGAAACCTGCACGACGCACCCGAAGATTCTCCATGAGACCGAGGTACTTAATCTGATGGAAGACGATCTTTTCGTCGAATTTACCCGGAGCTTTTATCTCATTTGGCTTGATGCAACGTACATACCTGCACCGCCACAGCAACACATTGAAATTGCAGGAAAAAGCTCTTTGCTAGAATACAAGTGATTTCGACCTAACATCACATCCTCACTTAAGTATCTACCGGCACCTACCGGCTTAGAAGACCAGCCCAAAGTTACTTACTCGTTTATTCTGTTACATACACTTACGTACCAGGGCTCTTTGGTGCTTAGCGCAACCATCAGCTCCTGAAGAGATATTTTAAATTGGGTTACAGCTGTGACCGGCCTTTTTTTCGATGCAAACTCGCTATCGGGGAAAGTTTCTCGAAGGACGTCCGAATCAGCCGAAGCCATAGCACGCTTCAGATCCCTATAAAGGAGGTCGTTGTTCTTTTCCAAGAAACCCTCGATTTTGTATGTCACCTCGCCGGCGTAATGAACGATACGGAATTCCTGTGAGTTCGGCGCCCAGGAGTAAGCATTTGAAATGCTGTTGTCATCAGTTTAAGCTTGTAAATGCAAATCGGTGCTATACTATTGAGACGCCAATATCAAATATGCACAAAAACAGTTAACAAAGTATGCTTTGGAATAAGGAAACTGCGAAAGCATAAGGTCGCCTATCCCTTAAACCTAAAGCGGCCTACACTTAAAGAATGGATCGAGATATTAATTTTTTCTTAAGCACATGCATTTTGTTTGCATTAGTTCTAGAGTTTTTCAGTCTTGATAGCGTTTTTAGAATTATGGTGTGGTTGTTACTGGATAATAGAAAAATGCGGAATACTTACGTCACGCCCAATGGTTTTACGGATTTTCTGCGTGGCATTGTTGTATGTTACAAAGTGAGCATTGGTTCCCCGTATTGTGCTTTCCAGCTTCTGCAGGAAGGTCTTATCGGTGGCTCCACCAGGTCGAAGACATTCCTCATCTAAAATGGCGATAATACCTTTGTGCTTTTCCTCTACGAGCTCGCAAATGATCTGTTGAGAGAAAAAAAGTCAGATCGATCTTTATTCTTGGTTACTCTCCGCATGTATTTGCCCTTTCATAGGTCATTACCGTCAATGTTAAGGTTTCAAATAAAAGAATCTAAATTTTGTTTCGATTTATCACTTTGAAAGATGTAGTTCTATCCTTGTTATTCAGCATCAGGTAGATACTGCACAGCAAACGTATTTTGCTTTCATATATATATATACGCACTCATGGTACTGAATCGCTATGAGTTGCTAAGGTTACCACTGTGCGGTAAAAATTGAAAAGGCGATCTTCCGCAAAACTTCGAAGATTGACAAACCTTATTGTCGAAAAAGTCGACTGCGGTCCATTCGATACCTTCTCTTAGGTACTCTTCTTGTTCGGATCGCAATGTCAGCTCAATGAAGAGCTGCTGCAACTTCTCATTGCAATAGTTAATGCAGAACTGTTCAACACTGTTCCGTTTGAACACTTCGAAACCGTAAATGTCGAGAAGGCCCATTAACGTCTTAGGATTGTTATCTCGAGAGCGCAACGAATTATTGATCTGTAGTGAAGATGCAGAAATCTCCGTAAACTTTTTAATACTTTATTTACGATTATATACTTCGTATGCGGTACAGAAGTAATAAAGGTTGTAGATAAGCGTCAACTATAGTCTTAGTGATCAGAAGCTCGTCACTTCATAGTTTCTCTCTATAGAGTACGTACGGTCATTCTGATAAAACACAAAACAGGTTGAATTTAATATATTGATTAGTTTATTAGACATTTTAAGGAGAGGCTTTTCTTACCCTATTTCCAATCCATTTAAAAAGCCGTTCGTAAAGCGCCTTCGCGAGGGCATCTCTTGCAAAAAGGGCCTGGTCCCGACTTAATGGACTGCGCACCTGTTCGCCTCGGGCCTCAATCGTACGATAAGTCAACGACCCACGTAGTACATCTTCCGGACATTTCAACAGCTGCATAAACAAACGCGGGGTCAAACAGAAGGTATATATATATATACGTAAAGAAGTAAATACATGAGGTTAATTTGCTTCAGTGTAAACTTACGTGATTATAACATGCTTTTAAGTTTATTATATGTCAAACCTAGTCTGTGTAAAGGTATACGTGTCATGGTATAACTATGCTTCCATTTAATTTCTGTTTAAAGGGATGTTTCTGATAATTCCTCTTCACACTTATGTTCTCAGGAGTCAGTGTGAATTTGAAACAATCGGACAAAAAAGCTAATTACAGCTTTATATTTATACAGACAGCCATTTACCTCAGCGATTGCCATCAGATGTTTTTCCAGTGAGGATGCAATTATGGCCTCTCCATTTTCCTCCACGAAGCCAGTATTGCCGAGATGCAGAATTGATGCTACGATGGCTAAAATTTCCTGACGGTCCTTTTGACTGAAATCACAGACAGCAAGCGCTGTCATCACGTCGTTAAACGCCGTCGCATCATCCGAAGTAGGGTTCACAGGCGAAGCATCTCCCTGTATCGCGACCATCGCAAAGTATAAAAAAGTCATATAACAAATAACGTGCTGCATTATCCCTCAGTTAGTTTCCGCAAGCCACCCATTGTCTAATTAGCGTAAAAGTTAATTATACAATGAAGCTTACCGTATTCCGAGCCATTGTCATAGTATATTTTCAAACGTCAACTTGGTACAAAATATTTGAGAAGCATAAAGTAGTGTTCCTACATTCAGCCGGGTACTCTACAAAGGATGTTTTTACTGCTATAATTAGTTTTCTTTAGGGTTCTTGTAAGGGATCATAAGTATGGAATGTATGGCAATGTTAGCTTAACTGTACCTCAGAAGATTTCCCTTGTGGTAGGGCTAAAAAGCAGCGCGGTACAAAAATTACTGGGGCATGTGTTAGATGGTTACTTAGAGTGGAATTTTTTGTTTAGCAACGCAGAAGATCCAAGAAATTACTTCTTTATGCACGGAAGGAAGAACGGCAAGCTGTATAATATATATATACATATATTTTTTTTTCTTTTTTTTTGCTATCGCATAGATTAGTAAAAAAAAAAGACATTTCTGTTAGCACGTAGCACCGAAGGTCACTAGAGTTACCTCCTGTAAATAAAAGTAATAGGCGATATCGCGTCGAAGCTTCAATGAATCCAAAAGCCAATCATCGGCACCTGTAATCAAATAAATTCATTAGAAATATTTATTTAATCGTAACGTGATGTCATTTGTTTTAAGGATTGTATAAATTCCTTTCGATGCTAGAACTTGAATTAAATAATTGTACTAAAACTATTGATTTTCTTTATCGTTTAATATCTGTTCCTGTAATACCTTGTCTGATGTTCCATTTGTACCTTGTTTTTCGAAATGAGAAAGTTGATTATAAACTTTCATAAGTTTATGTAATAAGAAAGGAGCGATTTTCAAATCAAATGAAGTTAGTTTGTCTATGTGACGTTTGCCGCTCTCTGCTGGGAATTTCATTATAAACTTTATTTATTACAAACTCTTTTTAAGACTTTTTCGTAATTTTACCTCATGGCTCGTGTACTTCTGAAACACTCGTTTATCATTAAAAGTTGATTATATAATGTATTTACTTTGTCTAGCTTATTTAATATATGCTCTTGCCTAACTTACACGCAGTGAGTCACATACCTGCCAGCAGTTGATAAAAGATATGGAAATTTCTCTCCCGTGATGTCCTCCCAACAACGCGGCTCTTCTCGAGAAGATACTGACAAATATGCCCTCCAGCAGGAGCGCCCTATATGTAGGAAGTACATAATGATGACAATAGATCCTGTAACATAGCCTTTACAAAATGATACATTTACGAGCAGTAGAGTATTCACAACGTGCGTCTCATGCCAAATGAATTTAGAATGTGTATATTTGTGTAAGCTATTGATGTTATGGTTATTCAAACGTAGATGTGGAAATCGATGGAGCGAAATTCAAACGGTCTATCACTTACAGAGAAGTCGAACTCGATGTCCATGTATTTTCCAAACCTGGATGAATTGTCATTGCGATTTGTCTTAGCATTTCCGAACGCCTCAAGGATGGGATTACTTTGGAGTAGGCGCCTCTTGACGTACTCGACCTTGGCTAAATGATGAGAAGCTGCAGCCACATACTGAAGAATCTGTTTTGATGCTGTGTATGTTTGAACAAGTGAATCAAATTATGAAAATATAAACAATGACGATGGAAAAAAAAGTAACCGACAGTGATAACAATTTTTTTTTTTTATTTATAGGACCCAGCCGATTCCATCGCCATAATCAAGTACTGGAATGGCGTACTAGGGACTTCTTCAGAATTGCTTGCCTAGAATAACGATATCAGTCTGTGACTTTTTTTAGCGACCACAACGACAACATGAGCAACGATATAGGCCTGTTCTTTACCTTCGGTCTTCCCTGCGCCAGACTCCCCCGAAATCAGTATACACTGATCTTTGCCCTCTTCACGGAGGAGGCTGTATGCAGCATCGCCGATTGCGTAGCTATAATGCAAAAAAATTTTTAAAAAATGCTCGCATTGTCTTTCGTCAGCATAACGCGATCGAAGTCTATACGATTATTGCTTTGCCACTACCTACACAAAGGGTGACGTTTACTTTTCAGATGCAAGCAAAGGTTCAAAGGCTGTTGTACACAAAACATCTAGTTATGATAATGGACAGTGATAATTTACGGGTCATCAGTATTTTTACCAAAGAAGTTAATTATTAATACTTACATATGTGGAGGAAGGTCATAGAAATTTGACTTTCTGTACTGCTCAACAAAGTCTTCTCCATAGATATCTAACTTCTTGTATGGGTTGACCAGAATTAATACAGGTCCAATGTATGTCTGGAACAAAGAGCGATCAGCCACCACGAAAGGCTCATATTAAGAATTGTGGTATACGCCTCAACGGGTTGGCTTAAACTCTAGCTGAAAGAACCAGAAATCGTTGGAATAACACGTTCCGTCGATAATACTACACAATATTCTGGACGCTAAGGCAAACTTTTAGCTGGAGCAATTGGAAACACTGTAAAATTTCGTGGTTATCTTATGCTAGAAGACTGTTCTTCATCTCTTATATGACTTGCTTTTTTAATCCCCGTTATGTGCAATATTTTCCTAACATACTACCAGCGTTTTGTATTTGATTCACACATCAACCGACCCCCATTCATAGCAGTCACAGGATCAAATAAGCGTATACTGTTTGAAATGTTTCCTCTTCATAAGTCCACATCATTGTTCAAAAAGCACGGCTTCTAACAGATGGTATCAAAGTTTAACAAATGTCTAATTTGTGACACGTTGGACAGGTATTACGCAAAAGTTATATGGAAAAATAATGTTTCTACTCCGTAGGCTAGAAAGGCCTTCTGGACAATCGATATCAATACATTAATCAATAGAACTTCTCTAATGAGTACTTACATATATGAGGTTTCCTTGGCAGCGCTTTTTCAGATTGTCTATGAAGGCTCGTTCCGATTGAAAATCCTCCAACAAGACGAAGTCCTGGACTCCCACGCGGTCACGCGCCTGGAGTGCGTTCTCCATTGCGTTCTGTGAGTGACCAAGCGACGAAAGCATACAAGTTTAGGCGGGTTTACCATGTAATCTATAATTTTATTAATCGTATGTCTTTGTCCTGATCGCATTTGAAACAACTCTCTAAATAGCATGCGAAGAGTTAAGAATCATTGGCCTTATGACCTTATGTTTAATAAAAAACGTACATATGCTTGATTTGAAATCTATTGCTTATTATACGTACTATTACGTGCTTGAATGGTTTCTAAATAAATAATCACTATGGCTCGATTTGGTATTTGAGATATTATAAGTGAATTACACAGTGTGCCGTAGAAATCATCACCTGCTTATGTATTGCAAAAATGATGGTTTCTAAGTCTGTCTGTTATATATAAAACATAGTTAGAAGATGCGATTGGGAAATCAAATTTACGACCTGAACATCATCTGCATTTAATGCCAAAGTTGGACTTTGTGGCAATCTACTATTGTCGTCGACTATACCTGTAATCGTTCGTCTTATATGAATGCTATCATAGCTAATATTATATAGTGTAACATTTCTATGATACATATAATTTTTATAGCACCGTAAGAAAGCACGTATTGACGGTGGCTAGTCTGACGAGGAACCCCACTAGGATCCCAGTTCTAAGACAGTGCTATCTGCTCTAGGAAACGCTTGATAACTATTTGTAAACGTCCGAGCTCAATTGTATTTTCCACACTATAAACATGCCATTGCAGCTTACAGCATGCAAACAACACAACGCCACGCGCTCATTTACTACTTTTGTACATAAAAACGATTATTTGAAATTTGACAGAGCTCAAGGTTAATAAAAGTCTAACGTTGAAACTGATCGGGAATCCGATATCTGAACCAGATTAAAATATATTGAGTCTTTTTTTTGTTAGGATGGTTCAGAGACAAACCTACACACAAATACAACTGTTATTTTTGCAAAGATGTCGGAGTGTCTTATAACCTCATTTCTACAATTTTTCTCCATCGGTAGCAACCATCCATAACTAATACAGGTCGGTTTTAAGAGGTTTTCTTAGTTCTCAATTTGAAAAAGGTTTTCCCAAGACTGAAAGTGAATGTACACATTTAGAAAATTCAAAACAGAGACCACCCCAGAGAAGTAGTTAAACGAAATAGTTCTCACAATCAGTTAAATCAACGGCTATGAACTCTCACAGGCTTTAAAGGACGAAACTCTTCGATCTTTTTTTTTATCGACCTTGCTCTTTAACGGCTAGATGCGTGGGCCAGCGCCGCAGTTCTCTATCCTGGGAAGAGAGCAAATTCTAATCTTCAATTCATATCAAGATTAGAAATAGTTAGGAAACACCGCAGCCGTTCATGCAAACGAGATTTACCACCAAGACACGGTCTTGTACAGGAATCCGGCAGGAACTACAAAGGACAAAAACCTACCGACGACGGTGAAATAGGCGAAATTGTGCGTAAGTCATGCTCACCCTTTTTGTAAAAAATGGACGGACCGTATTCTAATGGCAGAGAAAGTTGAGAGTATAATTTATATGATTTTTTTCTACTCGAAAGAGGCCTCGAAGGGTCAGAACAACGACCCCACTGTAGCTCGAGAGCAAAACTGAACTAACTGTATTTCTACAAAAGTGGAATATCTGACTCTCGGAGTAACTAAGTTCATGTTCATATTCAAATACGTCGATAAATTATGTTTTTAGGGCAATTTAACTACGTCAGACACTTGATTTGTGTTTTTGTTCGGAAGCCTGTCAAATGCCCTGGAATGGTATATGCTAAACAGTCGTTACCACTGTTCTGTATTTAACAAAAAAAAAAAAAAAAACTATACCGACACAATTCACCACTGAGAGTTTCTCTTTGTATCAGAACGACCACTCACAGAAATCCATATGCACAATATAGTCAGTATACATTGATCCTGTAATTGAATCCTGTGTATATGAACGTGTATAACGTTGTGCTTACGCTTATTGTGCGAACAACATTGCTTGCTTCACTGCCGTTGAAGTAAGCCGATGTCTTTGTACGGTGTAATAATATGGCCATTACACGTTGCATACCATGGCATTATCGAAAACTTTTAGATCAGAAGGATTGCTTGATTTGTTTTCAAGAGACTGCAGTAGCCAAAGCTACCGGTCGCAGATCTGGCATCATCAACAACGTCGGTAACAGCCATCACACAATATTGAGTCATAAAATGCTATTGACTTCACGAACAACTCAATCATGAAGTGCTGGCTTTTTACAGTAGAGTGAAGTGGCTGGCATCAGTAACCACAACATGAACGGCGAAGAAAGCCACCGTATCGGTATTAGATATATTTTTTTTTAATTGAAAAATTAAAAATGGCCTAAGAAAAATCGCGTTTTTCTAATTTAGAACATGTTTAAGGAGCACTTGCAGTAGGAATAGGCAGCAAGGATTTTACTCGTATCAGAATATGAGAACGATATTGGACAAAATAATAACATTGTACTTGATACAATAACAAGATATATATATGCTATAATAATAATTATAATATAAATACAGTGAATGAACTGGCAGCATTATTCGAAGAAAGGCGAATACATTACTTGGTAATTATTACTAAGTAATATCTTTAATGTACTTTATTGATGATCAGTCATTTAGGTCCATATCTTTAGCTCTTTTAAAACTTTAATGTTCATAGTAAAAATTGATCGCTAGAAGCCTTAAACCAATTGATGATTTACAGTGCTAAATACGAAAACCTAAAAAATCACCTTTTGCGGTACTTTTTAAAAAAAATTTTTTTTAATTTAAAATACTCTGCATCAGTGACTTCGATAGCTAAGAGTAAAATATTCGATCGTCAACAGAGCTGGCAACGATCCGGTTTGCCGTGTGAAATTGATCGATGCAACAAGTACACGCTTAATAACTTACTGGTACAGTTGTGAATCTGCTTTAATTATACTTAATCAAGCCATAAGGAGCATTGATTAACGCTTAGATTTGGTATTATAACCCCTGGAAACCATGAAAAAATCAACTACAGTGCATTCTATCATTGGTTTGCTATTTGGGAGGTAGTCCCTGAAAACCTGTACATTGGTTGAACAACTTCCTATAAGTGTTTATGGATCTACTGACCTTATCAGGTTAATCATTTGACTGAACTTTTTCTCATTGCTTCGATATAGAAGCCTGCAAGCCTTGAGATGTTTCGATGAAAATCTAGGTATTGTATTTTTCGTACTTAGCTGGCATGCAATAAAATCAAGTGGCGCACGATCAACATAATACAAACATATAGAATCAAAACTGAAATTCCCAAGACCAACCGAATGAAACACTTATTTGCAAAAAAAAAAAATATCAAATTGTAAAAAAATTGAGATCTATATAATAAAATAAAACTTTCCCATGAAATAGGTTTCATTTGTAAATAAGTACGATTGCTTTTGTGATTCGTAATACATGAGATGAAATATTGTTAAATCAATACCATTCCATTACAAATCATCTATATGCCACCCTATTTCCGTTGTTTTCTGCTTTTTAATGCTGTTTTAGTTTTACTGACAGGATTTCAGATCTGCACTGATGGACCTAAATTAGGCCATTGTTAAGGGGTTGATCCGGGAAAAAGTTGCTCGAATGCCTTTCGTTTTTTAGAGTACCTTAGCCAACACCTAGAAACTAAAAGCATTTAATTCCTGACCATTAGTCCAATTAATCCCAATGGATTACCGTGTTAAAGCAGGAACCGCTTTACTGGCGAAATGGCTCACAAATACATGGACTGTATTCTAAAACACCACAAACCAAATAAAGCTTTCGTAATAACTCTACTAACTATAACGTAAAATCCTGCTTTTTTCAAAGGACAAACCAATACCAATCTATATGAGACAATATTAATATAGTATCGTAATAAGTATTTTGACATATAATCAGCAATCCGTCACAGTATTATTCTCCTGTATGACGGCCATGCTGTATACTAGCTTAATATTATAAACGCAACTTTAAAAAGATGACGATTTTAATGTACCCACAAAATGAAAGCAAGCAGCTTATATATGGAGCCTTTTTGTCTTGATAATATTTTTGACTTTAAGATCGTTTTTGCTCAGTGTATCAGGAACCGATGCATACGACGATAGCGTGAGAATCGGAATCTCCATTGCAGCTCCCATATAGTCATCTTCCGGTAGGCCAAGTATCATACCCGTAATAATCGTTGAGGCCTGACAGTCCCCACAACCGTTTGAAGTTTTCACGATGGCCGCTTGTGGAGCTTCGAAATGTATGATATCGTAGTCGTCATTTGTTTTTACGACACGAACAAGACCACGTTCGCCCAAAGTGACGTACAAAGCGTGTCGGATCAGACCTGATCGCAACAGTTCGACGGCCATCTTCGCCACCCGACTTAACTCATCTCCGTTGAGAGGGGAATCATGCATAAGATCACGGTACATAAGCTCGAGTTCTTTCTTGTTTGGAGACGCGTACCAAACGCCGGACAAGCGATTGTTTCGAAACGGCTTTGTGGCTTTGGCAACGCAAGTTGGCTCGTACCAGACTGGCTTCTTGAGTCGCGCACATATCTCGAACGTTGTTTGCAGGACATCTTCAGACACATTTCCGTCAAGCACAACGATTGGAGCAGCTGCGATATCTTTTTCAAACCTAATGATCATCTCAGGCGTAATCCGGTCGTGGATGTCCATATCAGCTATATTATACAACAATGAACCGTTTTGGTTGTGGACCGCGCAGAGGGTCGCTGTGGTAGCATCGCGCAACACCGCAATGCCACTCTTATCCATGTTAGGGTTGTGACCAAGGATACCTTTGCCATTCAGGTCATCACCAACTACTGAAACCAAAAGCGGATTAAGGCCCAATCTGGAAATACAGTCTGCCATATTCCTGGCTACCCCACCGTAGCCCTGGTGTACTTGGCCTTTATAAGTATCACCATTTTGCTTCAGCTCGTCAATTCCGAGCTTAACATTGAAGTCAACATTGGATCCTCCAATGATAACAGGTCTAGCCGTGTTGATCGGCTCCACTTTAGGTGACGGTACCACATAGACCTTTTCAGCAACGCCGACAGTCTCAGGTCGAAGAACAGCTAACTCTTTCATAATTAAGGAGCCGACTAACGCGTTGTGTTTGATCAGTGCTATATTACCCTTCAACGAGGCACCTCTTGTCGCATGATGTACCCTGCTTAGTATGAACGGCGTTATATCTTTTCCTTTAATGTGTTGAATTTCGCTTTCTTTAAGAGCTTCTTGGACGCAATTTTCGATGTACTTTCCATCAGATTCGTGATTCAATGGTATCGGATTAGCAATTAATACGCCGCTCCGTACACCAAGCGCTTTTTGGGCAGCAATCATAGTTGCCGCTTCTGTGGGGTTTCGCACGTTCCATGGTACATCAAAACCACTCTTTCTAGTCCAGAAACACGGAAACTCCTTGGAATCGCCATACGTGGCTACGCAAACCCCTTGAGTTTCTAAAAATTCAAGGGTCTTGCCAATGTCAAGAATGGATTTAATTCCGGCCGACACAACAGCTATCGGCGTTCTACCGAGCTCTACCAAGTCAGCACTAATGTCCATGGTCACTTCAGCTCCTCGGTGGACCCCCCCAATTCCGCCTGTGACAAACATGTTGATGCCAGCTTTGTAGGCGGCAAGCATTGTGCCCGCTACCGTAGTGCCCCCGGTAACCTTCTGAGCCACAGCTGGAGCAAAATCTCTTGAGGAGATTTTTACGCTATTCTCAGCGTTAGCCAACTCAGTGAGTAAGTGTTCAGTCAGGCCAACACATACATCACCTTTGATCACTGCCACAGTAGCCGGTACAGAACCAGCTCTTCTCACTACTTGTTCAACGTCCATAGCAGTCTTAACGTTGTCAGGATAGGGCATACCGTGCGTGATAACGGTGGACTCTAAGGCCACCACGGGTTCACCATTCTTCAACGCGGAACGAACTTCAGATGAAAAGCGGAATTGCGAAATGAATCGACGTTGCAATCCGCCTAAGAACATTTTGGAAACATATCGAAGCATCTCGGCTGTTACTGTGCCCCTTGATAAACAAACAAATTCTTCATCAAATAACAGTCTATAGTATCCTTGCTCGTCACTCGTGATACATAACGTATTCGCCAAATAGACTTAGGGATCCGTAACAATTTAGTTCGAATCCGGGCGTAGAAACACTTCGTTTTGTGCTGGAAGCCAACCGTCTGAAGTAATGCCTAACGAAATAAGTGCTGGATGTACACAATCTAATTGTAGTAGGGCACATTCGAATCGTTGCACGAAGTTTGTCGGACAAACTGCACCCGTCACAAGAAGCAAATGATCAGACTACACATGGTCTACTGAAGCTTCTGTGGAGTTAAGAGAGTATGAATCAGGCCGACGAATCGACCTTCGAAATGAGTAACTGATTTAGCTGGCGAGCAGGCAGGTTACAAGCTGTATTGTTTGTTAATTTTTTCTGCGCTGACTACCACCGCCACCGTGATATACAATCGCTAGAGACGTAAGCCCGCCGTCATCGTTTATTGTAGACCAATTCCTAGACTTTTCACTCACTAGACTTTTCCGTTACAAGTGCTCTTACTGGCAAATCTTAGTCGGCATTAGCCGACGATAGCGCATCTTTCCTAAGGGCTCCCTTTACCATAGTCAACAATAACATTCGTAGGATGACAAGTTCAGCCTCCCAAATGGGGATACTTGCCACCAGGAGTCAGCACGCAAATGGGGACACACAACCAAACAAACAAAGTCAATCTCCTAATACTCCATCGTAATGATAGACCTTAGCATCTTGGCAGCGCAGTGCGAGAGATCGTCATGCGTTGCTCTCGCAGGCAAGCGGGACTGAGTGAAGGCGCAAGGGGATTTTTGTGGTTATATTCGTTACGGGCAGCTAGCCAGCAGTTCTTAGGGCGATTTTATAAGAAGGGATTAGCGGGCATGCGCTTACCGGGCGACTTGCAACAGGAGAGCATCAATATCTCGACCAGCACCGAAGCGTTCGCTCACAAGCTCTCACAAGAATACAGGATTACAAAACGATAGCTGTGTGTCGGCCAATAAAATTAAGTTGAAAAACTCCAGCATTTGCTTGAGATGAATACGGAAGAAAGAGCGGTCCTCTATTTCTCGGGAAGACGAAGATACTAAACAACCAAACTGACCCCGAGTGTCATTAATATTGCCAGTGATACGAAACGCTTGCTTTGATGAAAAGCGCATGGCAAAGCCGGACCGAAGACACTTAGATTTAGGATAGCGATTTGGATAAAGTATTTATTAAAATAGACAGAGTTGTCATCGTGGCAGAAACATATAGATATAAGGCCCAGATGAAGACAATCGCTTCTATGTCTACGTGAAGTAATTAAGAGAACAATACGACTAATTTGCCCCTAATAAGCCAGAGGTTTCGTTAGTAGTGGTTTTTAGATTTCATATAATTACGCAAGCCGTCAGTGAGGGATTGCATTGTAAAGACCGCGACACTTTCTGCTGTTGAATCTACAATAATATTCGTTATATGAAAGGCGCATACTTTTCACTCAAATCGACAAACATTCATGTATCTATGCTGTACTTGTAAATTGAAACTTCATTATACATATAATCCTGTCACACAAATCGCATGCATTATTATGAGTTATAACTAGATACGAATATGTAATAACAATGAACGAGTAATAGGTAGAAAGTTTATATAGAAACTTAATGATTCCAATAAACATATATGGTAAATAAATTGTATGCGAAATGCTCAACTTAGCTAGCACAGCTTGATGAAAATATTATTGTGCCATGCTTCGTTGCAGACGATCTTTGAGATGACAATACGATAAATTCATTCGAATCGACCTGTTACCGAAAAGAGCCACCTTACGTGTGAACCTATTATACTGATGCAGTCGATAAACGAAATGCTTAAGAACGAGCATGCACAATTTATAAAACGTAGAGGTACCAACCGTATAGTAAAATTTGCATAACAGATCGTCATCAAGGATCGTTAATCATAAATTAGCAGACGATTATACGAAGGAACGTGTCTATTATGTGATATATAAGCCTTGCTCGGCTGCAAAATGATCGCGCTGCGGTTCGTCCTCAATCGACGCTACTAGCACTGACGATTATGCAGCATCGACATTCCTTCTATAGAAAAGAAGCGCCACTGTGATTATCTGCAGTGTAATATAGTAGTACATGGATAGATACTAGACGCTTGTGATAAGGCTGGCTATAACAGATTGGGGTTGACGTTTCAATGTGGTTACGAAACTCATCATGCAGCGTTATTGCCAAATTATGCCCCGGTTCTATTGCACGTCCCAATAGATCTTTAAATGGATTCGACTAGCGATAAAACTGATAAAATGAAAGATAAGAAAAGATAAACGTATGCTAACTATTCACATACAATGTCATATATATATATATATAGAATGGTGCATTTAAATTGGATGATACCTTAGCGCATTATTTGTGGTAAAGAATATGCCTTTATCCGCTATTGCCGGCACCAAGCAAAAACTATTTTTTGGAACAGAAGTCAACGGTTGTTTTCAATAGGGGAGTATTAGTGATCAATTAGGCCGTTCATGAGAGCCCCAACGGACGGTCCTTAAAAGTTTTTTTTTCGCGCTTTTTAAATTTATTTACACATTTGAGCAACGCTTTAGCGAGTTTACGTTTACCAATATCGCTCAACGCGCTGTTACTAGTAAAAAGGTTACTTGCGAATCAGAGAAAAAATAATATTTAAAATACTTTGTTCATGGTCGAGGTCTCGAAGCAAAGACATGGTCATGATGGGTGGTAATTACACTGAATATAAATGACTGCCACGAATGACATTTCTAATAAATACTCAGATAGATTTTTATTTTTACGCAGATTCAGAAACGAAGTATAATAGAGATTCTTTTAATAGACGTACTACCTTGTCTATAATGGACGGAAAGGCTAGGTGGAAAAATACGGACAATTCTATTTTTCAGGTAGAAAACAACAGTGTGAATTGCAGCCATTTTTAGATATTGGAACCCATTATATGTGACTATATCACCAGTGGTCTAATTGCGACTGAAACAAATGTGATGGCTTCCAACTTCTAGATCTTGTCTTTCTGTAGCTAATAGAATAAAGCTAGATGGGATACAAGCTCACACTATGATACAGAGTACCGTGTTTGGTTTGTAAAGCCCACAATAACAACCTACAGACAGGTGGTCTAAGTTCGAAGCTAAACACTGACGTCTTTTGTGCCGGGGCAGCACTTCGGAGCAATGTCTAACGGCGATACTCGACTTAAACGTCTAACGTATTTAAATAGATGAATGGAGTACTATTTGAATTTAGTTGTTGTAGGGTAATTTAGATTTTATTGTGTTGCAAGAGTGGTGGCAAAAGAGTGAACACGTAATGTGTGTCCGTTAGGTTGAATTTTAACTTCAATATGTATGAGCTATGATTGTTGATTTATTATCAGGCGTGGGTGTAAGTCGACATATTGGTCAGACCTGCTGTCATAACTTCGTGCGACGCGTTTCGATTCACTCCCAGAAAGTCAACCGTAAATGCGAGGGTGTGTTAATTGACAACACTTCAATAACCAAAAAAAATTCTGCACGAATTACTTTGCATAGCAGCGTGATTTTTGCCATTTGACCTTTGAGTTTTTCGATAACACTTATTGATAATAAGGAATAAACTGATACCTTGGAATTCATTTTGTACCTATAATAGTGTAAGTTTGATAGTTAAAATATTAACGTATGTCTCTTTAGCCAGAAATGCGTTCACTGGGTCAACATTTATTTTTTGTCCATTGTCAGCTGGTTGAGAAGCTTCATAATTGAATATTTCTTATAACAAATTTTCTAGAAGCATTGGCTAATGATCGCTCTAATACTATTTGACCAAATTTCCGATAGATAATTATAAAATATTCAATTAGGTAAACTGCCGAGCAATTCGAAGTTGTATTATTAAATACTTTATAGCAATCTAACTTTACGTACGTACGGACGTACGTGCTCATCCCAATTCGAATTTAGGTGGCAAAGTTGTTTGGTCCATATTTTCGCTGTTTTTTTTTCACAAAAACTCATATACAATAAATTTATTAGCAGCAAAGAAGCCTCATTTGCTATCGAGGCAATCTTAGTAGACAAAGCACTTCTTAAAAATAAACCAATTCGGTCAATTCGATCTTTGCATTGCTTTTTTCTAGCTTGAGATGAACTAATGTAGGCATTTTGCTAAGGAAGCAGTTTCTACCGAAAATGTGTTCCACTTCAAGTACAGGTGTAGTGCACTGCATAAAAGAAATTGCATCTGATGTGAAACATATGATCAGGTGTAACTTCATGTAAGTTAATCAAGATCTAAGATCATCGCAAAGTTATGGTTATAAGAAAGTAAAATAGACGCGTTCTATTTTCCGTGTTGCAAATACAATTTTTGTAACTCAGAAACAAACATAATTGTCGTTATTTTTGCTATTATTTACAGAACGATGCAGTTTCAACATGCGTTCGATAAACTCACAGGAAAGTCTATCGGACGCTGACGTTGGACTTTGCGTAAGTTATATTATAACTTTTACTATTTCTTTACCGTTTATCTAAGTGCAGCAAGCAAAAAAATAGCATTTTCATATGTATGTGGCAGGTTGTTGTGTTAAGTCAATTGCAAATTGATCATGATTTCCAGCAGGTATTTTTTTTTTATTGCAAGTCATACCATCCTGGTGCTCGTTGACAATACGCTACATAAATTATTAAATTATTTACAGAATAACGAAAACCACATCGATCCAGAAGGTAAAAGCGATTGCCATAAGGAAAAAATGCTAACATTGTAAGTTTGTAGTATTTTGCTTATTGTTACACTATGTTGCCTGTATACTTTACTGGCCCACTAGTACAATGTTTAACGAACGACAATTTTTAGTCAAACAGTACATGTTTGCGTATCGCCTACAAGAGGATCTGGGATCCCGGAGATTATATTCAGAGCTGCCGACCGTCAAGGCAGTGAGACAAAAAGCTTCGGCCGCTTAAGCATCTTAAATGCGCTGTTTAGCAAGTTTGGAGATCCAAGATATGACAAACATATAAGGAAAATAAAAACACCGAATTAACGGTGACCAGTTTAGTTAGTAGAAGTTTAAAATACGCCTAAGCGTGTAGGACATGTATGAGAAATTGTCAGACCAAAACATGCACGTCTCATTCTACCTTATGCATAAAGACGGTTCCTTGCTACTGATAAAAAAATGGAACCAAATAAACGTAAATCCGTAATCCAGAAATGAAACAGAATCACTTCCCTTTTGGTTTCTGCATTGTAATCTCACTAGCATTTTTTTCTATAGTTTATTACGCAATCCCCATCATTATCTAGCAGGTGGTCCTTTTTTAGCTATCAGATTTTCACCAGTCACTCAGTTACAAGATTGTTGATACCCCCTCGTCGATACAACGGTTGTTTATTCGTACATTGATTTCTTCAATGAAGTGACGAAGACTTTTGAGTTGGTGAGCTCATGTGCACCACCCCGTTCTACGATGGACCCCTAGAGCAAATCAAACGAAGTAAATTTAGTAGCAGCGCCGCCGACGGCGACTCTGGCCAGATCAATCTATTAGACTTCAGATTGGCAGGCCGACGTTCAACCGTCGACATATGATACGAGTGCGGCTGAGACGTTTGTTATGTGTAGTTTTGCCAGGACTACTAACAAATACACAATAGTATAGGTTCGCTCATGGTGGATCATGGTGATATTATGCCATCTCGACATTCTAAACAGGGAAACTGGCTCACAGCAGGAGCCAGCAGCGTGAAGACAATGCTTTTTCCACCTTATTTCCATTCCTTTTACTATGTTGAACAGTGTTTTCAAATTGTTGCCTATTAGTAGCCATCGTACGTTTGGATGATACAGTTGAGTCAAACAACTCGCGCGTCTACAAGTAGCTCAAACGTTCCACTAAACGATACCTAGACACGTTTGAAATTTTCGAAAAAATCGGTACCACTCGACGGACTTAAATACTATATCGTAAATATCTGCTAACAAATTGACGTCTTACGTAAGATTATTCAATTTCGATAGTTAAGCCAAGTCGTGTATATCCTGCATAATATCGCTTCATTTATGTGGTTTTGCCTTGTCGTGTGGCGTTTGTTGTTTATACTGGCGAATCTCAGTAAAATGTTACTGTTTTTAGAAAACGGTAACGAGCAAAGAAGTGAATCTAAGTTAAATAAATAAATGCATTGAATTGGGGAAGCCAGTGCAAAAGTTCTACAGTTCCAATGTGCGCCAATATCGTTTCTATACTCGATATTGCGCGAAGTTCAAGTTTCTAAAATAGCAGCACAGATCTGTACATTTGTGAATGTAACCATTTCGGCTAACTTATGCACAGTCACAATGGTTCAGGTACTATGAGACACAGTATACAGTGCACAAGTAATGCAAGACACGACTACCGATCTCTAATCCCTTCTTAGTAGATCTGACTTGCGATGCCGCTTACATTGTAGGCCGAGAATTTTATCAATAAAAAAGAATTACAGTCCTTCCTGCCAAAAGCCATTCCGTAAACAACTCATCTGATCAATGTAGATAATCGGCAGTCGTAACCATGGCTGCAGTGTTCAGTATTTGACAAGCCATTCCCGCGCAAATATGGTCTCCGCCATCGCGTTCAGGGGACTTGTTGCTACTTATACTGGTACACACTGCTACAACCTGCGAAAAATCAGGTAACAATTACATACGGTCATAAAAACATAGTAATTCCCATTGTTTATAATGTCTCTGATGCGGAACGCGGTACAGATTTTTCACAGAGCATTGTGGCCAGTATATCTTCGCTGCTGTATCAGTAACTACGCGTAGCAAAGGCACAAGAAATCGAGTCTCCAATGAATTCATCATTGTCGTGTTGGATAGGGTAATAGCATATTCCGCTGTGTATGATAATCAGTGAGAGTCATCGAAAACGATAACTTCACTGCAGCCGAAGCCAAAGTGTTGACCTTTATCCTCGACATGCGAACTAAATTTACTAAAACATATTCTATGACACAACATGACCGTGCATTTTATCCAGTAGGGCTATTTAAAATCATGTTAAACTCGACTCTGTCTGATGTCACGACTCTGCCAGAATCCGATGGGATGCATATAGACTATTCATTTGAGCTCACCCTATATGACTGCTAAATAATAACAGTAGATAGACGTGGCAACGTAGCAATACAAAAACGGGGATGTCGAAGAGCGGGCGATACAATAGCATATTACTCAAGCCCCAATTGAAGAAACACAACAAAACAGAAGTCACGTTACAGCCCTAAGCACCGATAGCCAGTGATTGTACGCAAATTTCTGAAAACGGTTTTCGTTTTATAACCATAAGAGCATAAAGCCTTTGTAGTTATTTCAGTTTGTTCATCAATGTTTATATATGCATTGGGAAAGGCGGCAGATTATAGGCTATACGGTTCGCTGCGCCCCGAGGTAAAAACTCATTTTTTTTTTTTTTTTCTAATTTCGCACTCAGTTAACTTACTTCACTTATAGTCAAACGGCAATGCTGGTAATCGAAAAGTAGCTATAAAGAGCTTCATAGTCAAGCCGTTAAACTACGCAGGGTTTGTTTTGAACATGTGCATTTGTAGATCACGGCTTACTCTATCGCTATAGCTACATTGGACATTCGAGTTTTGATTTTGTTTAACGCCACAGAGATGTTCTCCTAATTGTGCCCCCGGTATTCTACATAACTGACTGAAAATAACATAGTAGCACAGATGTTTTTCATGTATAAGTGTGTGTTCACTTGAATGATGGATCCCAAACATTGTGACTGCAATTTGTACAGATGGGTGTTTATCGATATTCCGGACTACTGGTTTTAAAGCTGCCAATGGTGTAGTTGATGGCTAGTTTATCAGTTAGTATTCACGTTGTCGTCACTCTTAGTTGACGTTGTGCATAGTTCGAAATAGCTACATCCTTCTTGGCGGTCGCCTTTCTTGAAGCGCGACGAAGATTCGATACCCGTACATCAGCTAGGAGGACCTTGAACCTCAAGCATAAATAAGACCTTGTACTAAAACAATATAATAGTATAACAAATACGTACGCACTGTAGTATCGTTAAAAGATTGGACCCGCTAATGGCACAAACATTTGTGAACGTAGTCTGGCGTACCGTGCAGATATTTCACGTAAGCAGATACTTGCTAGTCAATAACCCTCGAAATGACTGGCGGCTTATATTGATTCAATATAATAACATTAGTAGACATTAAGAAGCGGCATCTAGGAAATCGAAAACGATAACGGCGTTCCGACGTCATGTGACATCGAGGCCGAAAAGTGAGGATCCTTTGTAACCTCACCATTAAACAGAGATTATCAATGCTCAACTCAATATATAGCGTATAAAAATTCTTTGTGTTTGTGATATTTACGTGAGTAGAAAAACTTCGATGGGACAAGAAACTACAGGTTAAATAAACACGAATATACTATAACACCTACAAGCCGCATTATTTTTATTGCGCTTGTCGTACGACTTCGTTATTGATGATCTTCATTTGAAGTATTTTCATCCTCTATGATATGACACAAAAGGTAGAAATAGCTCTGGGTCTGTAGTGCACACCGGGGACACTTTCAATATTTAGAAGTGGAACACATACGAATTACAACACCAGGGCTACGAATGTGACAAGTAAATATTTTTAATCAATAATTTCTAATTAGACACCCCAAAATGACTACAGGACAGGTAGGCAAGTGTACGATCCGGCGGTATGTACGTGCCAGGAGTAAGCGATCGTCGCACTGTGGAAGCATTACAAAAACATAGAAATCATGTCTCTGTGTCTGTTTTAAGCACTTCACCACATTCTTTATTAATATCGATTTTATCTTATTATATACTACGAATCGCCTTTATTAACTCATTATGAATGAAAGTAAAACTATGTAATTCTAATTCATGTCATATCACGATCTTCAGTTACGGCAGCACGCCCTTACCGACAAAAGTTCCGAGCTGGATTCAACCGACTGCAACGATTATAGTGCTCAGGCCCGGTTTTGAAAGTAACTGTCTTCCATTTTATATGGATCCTTCTAGAAACAATTGGATTGCCTGGTTTTTGTCGTTAGCCTATTGAGCACTCTGCCCATGGGCTTACCTTAGCTGAACCCCGTTTCTTTTTTCGGAAGCTCCCGGTTCACGACACTTACTAAGCTCCCCTAGACTTGAAAATATTTGGAAATTGAATACCTTTAGATGAACAATTTATCCAAAACGGTACACAATTCAGACAGGTATCATTTCTGAGGCCCAATTGGGCGTCCAAAGACATTTGTTTTTAAAGGAACCAAGCGAGTCCACGCAAAGAGCCCGTATGCTGACCATTGAGATGCGCTGGAAATTGCAAAATACTTAATAAACAGGGTGTGAAAACAGGGTGAGGGTGATTTGTTATATATTTTTGCGAGCTTCTTTCGATATAAGTCGATTTCGGTCTAAGTTCCATCTTAACAACAATAATTGCTATTCGATTTACATTTCTGGTAGCAGTAACAATGGGGGAACTAAATCAGGTTGATTTTCGAGCATTCTTTCCAATCTTAGTGCTAAAGAACTTCGGAAAGGCTTTCACAATTGTGCCATACCCTAAAGTCTTGCTTGTAAGTATCTTAGAAAAAGGTTAAGTAAAGATTGCTAGAACACCGAAGAAGTAGTTCCTTATTTGCTGGGCTTTTGTAGGAACGACGTCCTAATTCACTACGAGTGCGACCCGCCCCCGAAAACGTATACCTGCCAGTCGCGGTGAGGCGATACAATTGCCTTGAATTATTTACCTGACCAAAAACGGGAAGGCTGAGCGTAATTAATTATTATTTTGTTTAAAATAAATATTGCACACAATCCCTGATAATAATTGCAACGGCTGCTGAACTTAAGCAGTCTGAGGTCTTGATTGGGTATAATTTATTGCTATCCGCATCAGGAATTTCTGCAACTGGACATCGGCGGCAATTTTAGTTCACGTACTCAAACATCAAGTTTATACATTCATAAACGGTAACATGGTAACTTGCGCTTCCGGCTCAGTAAACTTTATAGTAGTTGT